TTTATACAAACTATAAAAAAATTTAATATTATATAAAGAAAGTATTTAATATATTTATAATTAATTTTTAGATAAAATAATATAATATAATATAATATAATATTTATTTTTATTTTTTTTAGTTAAGAAAATGCTTATTTTAATACGAGTGTCTTAAATTTTATTTGTCTTAACAATTTTTCATAATATTTTTCTATTTTTTTTAATTCGATAATATTATTTATTCTGTTATTTTTTTATTTTTATTTTATATTTATTTTTTATAAAGTAATTAACAATAATAGGCTATTATTAATTTTTTTTATATCCTTTTTATTTTTTTATTGATTTTTTATTTTTTATTTTTTATTTTTTTATAAAATTAAAGTATAAATAAAATAATATTTGAACAAATAATATCGCATAATATTTTGTATTTATTAGAAATAATTTTAAATATTGATATTGCTTAAATTTAGTTTTTAAAGTAAATATTAAATTTTATTTAGAATTTCCTAATCAATTTTTTCAATGAAATTTATGATTTCTTTATCTTTTTTTTAAAAAATATTTTTAGGGTTCCTAAATTGCCAATTATTTCATAATTTTCTATCCTAAAAAATTATTGTGCTTAAGTTTAATCTTTAATTGATTCTTATATTTTTCAATTTATTTATATTGAAAATTATTAAAATTAGCTTAAACATCTATTTTTATGGTTTACTTTATAAAAATGAATTTAATTTTCATTTGTATTTAAATTTTTAAATTTCCTTTTATTTTTAATTCATTTTATAAATTTTTGTTAATAAGAAAAAATATATATTATTTATATAATACAACATTATTAAATTAAAAAAAATTAATATTAATTATATATTAATAATTTTTTAAAATAGATAATATTTGAATTATAATATAAAATGTATTCATAAATTAATGTAAACAATTAAAATATTATAAAATATAAAATATAAATTATACATTTTGTTATTCTTACTTTATTATTCATATAATATAAATTATTTAATTTTTTTAAAAAAATTAGAATTTATATTTTTAAATAATTATATAATATAATCAATTATAATAATATGTTTATTTAATTCTGATATATAATACTAATAATATAAATAAAAAAATATTAATAAAAAATTAGGAGATTACTTAAAATTAAAATTAGTAATCAAAATATAAATTTAAAATACAAATTGTTATTTTAATTTTATTAGTTTATCAATATATTTTTATTATACTTTTAACTGATTTATTAATAATCATTTATTTTCTTAATTAGATTTTTCATCTGTGTCAAAAGTTTTAGGTTAACTATTTTAAAATACTTATTTTAAGTTATGAAATTCATTTGTTTATTTGGCAATGTTTTAATTATTATTATTTTCATAATTAGAATAATTTAATTCTTTTTTTAATTATAAATTTTAGAAAAAAAAATATATATATAAATATATATATACGTTTGTTATTTTCTTAACATTCGCTTTCTCTCTTTTCAATAAAAATTATACTACTTTTTTTCGAGTTATAAATTTTACCTTGTCCTGTTTTGCTATTGTTTTTAATATTATTTTCCTTTTATTTATTAAATTAAATATTTTTGTAAATAATATTATTTACTTCTTAAAAATTATTTATATAAACGTTTCCTTTTAAATTTAAAAAGCTAGTAACTGGACTTTTAAAAAGAATATCTTTTATATTAATAATGAAATTTTTTCTTTTTTTTCATAAAAAATAAAATAAGAAATAATAATTAATATATTATATATTATTATTAGTATTAAACTTTTAGAATGGATTTTTGCTTTTTATTCTCCAAATTTTTTTAATGTACTCATTTGTTGTTAAATTTTGAAAAATTAAAAAGTTATGAAAAACAAATAGAATAAAGGAAAAAACAAAAATCTAATTAAGAATAATATATATTTGTCTTAATTTTATTATTTTTATAAATTAATTAAACCATAAAAATATAGATAATCAAAATTATAGATAGGTAATTATTATTCAAATAGTCTTCCTTTTGTTAACTTTCTGTAATTAAAATTTCAATATTTTAAATTAAAACAATCAAACATATGCTACAGACAAAAAATAGAAAAAAAAAAAAAAATCTTTTTTTATAAACATTAAATTAAATTATGTATTTTATTTTAAATTTATAGGTTTATTTTATTTTATTTATTATAATAATATTACCTATAATTTCGTTTTCCAATACATGTTCCCAACCAAAAGCAATGATGATCGAATCTTTCTACACAATTATCACAAATGGAACAATGAGAAGTTCTTGGAGGTCTATATATAGCACCTAAATATAATAATTTAAATTAATTATTTAATTTATTTTTATAATATCACATACATGTTGTGCAAAATTTAACTTTAAATAAATGAGATTTATTTTTAATTAAATAAAGAATATATTTGTATTAGTATTCACCATTTTTAATAATATCTTTAAGTGGAATTTTTAAAAAATCTTTATTAATTTCGATATTAGAATTCTTTTTTAATAATTTTGTTAAAAAATTTATTTTTTACATTTAAAATACTATTTTAGGGATTATTCCTGGGTCGGAAAAGTTAACTAAAATCATAAAAATATTTGTAAAAATATGAAAAACTATAACAAAAATATATTATTTTAATCTTTTTAATATTATAGCATAATGAATTATTATTGCAATATTAATTAAAGAAAATGTTAATATAAATTTAAAATTTTCTGACCTATAAAAAAAAAGTTATTTTTTTAGTATGAAATACCAATTTTTTATTATTATTATAATGATATTAATAAAATACCCACTTAATAATAATCCTTTGCAAAATATTTTATTTCTAGATAAAAAGATTTTGTAGAACTTTTCACTTATTTATTTTTCTTGAAATTAAATTTATTAAACATTCATTTTTATAATATAAATTTAATAATATAAATAAATAATAAATATATATAACATAAAACATTTATAGATATATTATTTTTACATATTGTTTTTTAATTTTTTTAAAAAACTCAATAAGCAAAAAAAAACAAAGTTTGATAAATGTAGAAGGCCTTTTTATTTTTATTGTATATTTATAAAATATTCCTGTAATATAAAAAGTAATATATATATATATATATATATATTTATATATATCATTTATATTTATAAATAATTAATATATAAAAAATTATAAAATATCAAAATGCATAATACTTTTTACACATAATTATTATTTTTTATAATTATATTTTTTTAAAGAAAAAAATATATTTTATCTTTTTTTTTTTTTATTAAAAATTTAATATAATTATTTTTTTTAATTTAGAAAATTAATCAAATCTTTTATTCAATTTTATATTTTTCACATAATCCCATATTTTAAACTCTTCTATTTAGTTAAAAGTTACAAAAAAATTTAGTTAGTTGCATTGAAAAATAAGGTAATATACCGAAAACTGGTAAAATATAACTGAAATTTTATATAAAAAATTATTTTTTTTTGAAAAAAATGAATGCATTTATCAATATGTTGGTTACAAGAGCTCCTTGCATATAATATTAAGCTTTTTCAATATTATTTTCGATAAAAAAATAATCAATTTTACTGCATTCAGGATGATATAAGATTCTTTCGTAATAATAAAGATTTTGATTATTTAAAACACTATTATAATAAAGATCCTTATATATTTTTAAAGCTTACTTATTTGTTATTTTTTTATTAGTTTTTTGAATTAAAGCTTTTTTAAAACTTTAAGTACGCCATAATGCTATTTTTTCATCTTAAATATTAAAATTGACGTGATTTTATTCTAGTGAAAAATCGTAATTTGATAATTCAATTTAATTTATATATCTTTCCATTATTTACTTCAATAAGTTCTTAGCTTATTTATTTTTATTTTTAAAATTAATATTTTAAAATTACTAATATATATATTTTTTTTATTATAATTTAAATTTATTTTTTTTATGATTATTTTTAATAATTTTTATATATTATTTTTTTTTTTTTATCGTTTTAATATATTTATAATAGTACATATTCATAAAAAATGCAAAAATTAGTTATTAATGAAAACAAATTTTCTAATTTAAATTTACATAAAATTTAATTTAAGACATTCAATAAAAATTAATACTAATCTTAAATTAAAATATAATTTATTTTTATTTTACATTTCGTTTATTAATTTATTATTTAAAATCATTAATTTTTATTTTACTTTTAATCTTTTGAATCATACTTTTTTAAAAATAATTAGATTTCACCATAATCTAAATTGATTAAATATAATATATTTGATTATTTTTTAAACTTTTTTATATTAAAAACTATATTTTCCTTTAATTTCATTTAAATATAAAGAGATTAATATATTTGTATTTTTGAATATAAAAAAGTGTATAAAATTATCAAAATATCTAAAAATATTAAATAAATAATAAAAACAATATAATTATAATTTTTCCTTTATAAATTGATGAAAATTCTTTATTTTTATTGTTTGGATATTGTGTTTAGATCTAAATAAAATTATATATAAATAATATTTTTTAATTAAAATGTATTATTTTTTAATTTATTTTTATCTAGATATAAATATTTATTTTATCTTATTATATTTATTACATATTAAAAATTAAAAATAAAAATATAAATATAATTTATATTTTTTAAAAAAATAAAGATATAATTGATAAAAATTTTTATATAAATTAAAAAAATATATATAAATGCTAGATGTTTAAAATTAATATATTTTCCTGTTACCAAAAGAAAAAGTTCATAGCGCTTATAATTTGATCAATATTAAATTTTTAATACTCTTTATATATTAATTTTTAAGCTTTAATTAGTATTTTATCTTTAGCTATTAATTTTATATTTATAACATGTAACTATAAGAAAATATTTTTAAATTTTTCATTTACTTTATATACATAAAAATATTCTTTTAACATTTCCAAGATAAATTTATAAATTAAAAACTAAGAGTTAATTTTACTAAATTATCCATATGTTAAATCTAATAAACTAGCTCTAAAGCACCCTAATCAGTTATTAAATTAGCATTAAATATTAATTCACAAATTTTTAAATTTTCTATTTTTCTTAAATTTTATCCTACAGTAAAAAGCCCTTAATTTTGTATTTTATTTGCATAAAAATCAATATAAATATCATATATATGTTTGCATTTTGAAATTTAATTTATAAAATGTATTACTCCTTTTGTACTTAATAAATTACAAGCAATAATTAAATATATTTTTTTTAATTAATTTCCTATTATTCCTAATAATAATGCTAATTATTCAGCACCAAAATCAGTTATATAATTACCATGTAAGTTCAATTTTAATTATTTTAAATTTTAAAACTAACTAAATTTTTAACAAAATTTAGAAAATTCCATAATCTTTTATGCATTCTCCTATTATTTCTATAATAATTTCTTCTCTTTAAAATATATCTGAAAGATCTTGAACTTGTAAAACTTTTTGAAGCCCTTTTATCTTAAACATATATTAATAGAGATAATTAAGATTATTTATTAATTTAATTTTTATTTTTTTAAAATTTTGTAAAAATCAAATATAAAATCCTATTTTGAATAAGACTATTATTTAATGATATTATATTATAAAATTATAAAAATTATATTTAATCATATATTTATATGAATTTATTTAAAAATAACCTAAAAAATTAGCTTATAAATTCCAAACTATATATCTAAAAAAAAATTAAATACAAAATATAATTTCATAAAATTTAAATAAACATTTTAAAAATAATCTTATTTTTTTATATTATAATTAATGTAAAAATCAAAGAAATTTCTATTTTTATAAATAATATTAAATATTATATTTACATTTATTCTGATATTTTTTTTTTTAAAAAAAAAACTCAATCATTTAAAATTAAAAGTAAAAAATGAATTATAACTATTTTTTTTGTTATTTGGTGTTTATATCAAAACAAAACGATTAATTAATTAATATATTATTTTTTAAATAAAAATCTTAAAAAAAAAAATTAAATCAAAAAATTTAATAATAATAGCAATTTTTTTATTGTAAATATATAATATAATTTTTATATACAAAAAATAATAATTATTAACTAATACTTTAAACTAATAAAACAATTTTCATAAAAATATTAAAAAATTTTAAATTTAAAGTATTTCAGAATAAATATAATTTTTTTAATAATATTTGATTAATAATATAAAATACAAAAATATTTTTATTTAATAATAGTTATGCAAAATATTTTTATAATAAAATTAATTTTAAGAGTATTTAAATTACAATTAGCAATTTTATTGAACATAATATTAATCTAAAATTGAAACAACTTAAGAGATAAACTAAACAAATGATTAAAATTTTATTTATATTTTAATAATAAAAAGAAAAAAGGCATTATCTTTCATAGATATTTTTATACAATTTAAGATGAAGTTTTAAATTAAAAATATATTAGAACTTTTGAGGCAGTTTAAGATATTTAAAAGTATAAAAAAACCAAATTATTTAAAAGTTTTAAAAGGAATTTGTTAATTAAAAATTTTTAAATTGATATTTTTATATTTTAAAATAAAGACTATTTGACAATTTTTTATTAACATAAAAAAGAAAATAAAATAATGTATATAAATTTATAATATTCATTAATAATAGTTTTTTTAATTTAATAATATTTTTGAAAATATCGAATATTTAAATTTTAAAAATATATATAATAGAAAATGTTTTAATTTTGTTATTTAATTCTTTAAGTAAATAAATAAAACAATTAGAGCATATTTAAAAATATATATTTAATTATTTTAAAATAGTTAAATAAATAATTTTTTCTTACTATGAATAATAATATATTTTTGAATAAAATTTTTTGTTATTTATTATTTCTAATAAAATTTTGTTATTGTATTTAAGCTGAGTTAATAAAATTTTATATAAACATATATTACATTAAATTAATAAATATAATATAATTATAGCATCTATTTATTTAAAATAATTGTAAATAATTTAAATGTAAAGCTATTCTATTTTTTTGTTATAATAAAATAAATCTTAAATTATAAGTTTATTAGTATTTTTATAAAATTATAATAAGAATATTTGAGATTGTAAATATTGCATATACGATTGTATATTGAATATTTATTTTCTATCAATTTAAGTAGATTTAGATAATTTTTATATTATTTTATGAATTACAATAATTAAATTTTAAGTTTTTTTAATACTTTTAAGTAATACCCATTCTTATAATAAAAAATTATAAAAATAAATAATAAATTAAATTAATAAATACAAATATAAAAGATTTGAACAGAATAATATATGTTAATAATTTATTTAATTTTAAAATATTTATTTTTCAGTTGTTTATATAATATATTTATAAATCTTTTTTCTTTTTTTTAATATTAATTTAATTATTTTATTCTATTTATAATATAATTTATATCTAAAATATGAAAAAGAATAGTAATGCAAGCGAAAGCATTATATATAAAGAAGAAGGAAATAAAGCATTTAAAAATAAAAATTACGAAGAGGCTATATTAATGTATACGAATGCAATAGTAAATTTATTTTTGAATTAATTAAAAAATAAATAAAAAAAGGATTTGGATTAAACATAAAGCATTTTTTATTCAAATAGATCTAGGGTGTATAAACATTTAAATAAAATTGATGAAGTAAAATAAAGAAAAATAAAAAATATTAAAGCTATATTTATTAAAAATAAAAGGCTATACAAGATGCCTAAAAATCATATGAATTAGATGAAAAAATATAAAAGCACATTTATTAATGGGCTAACTAATTGCACTTAAATGTAAACTAAATCCAGAAATTATTGATTAATTAGAGATTTCTATTAGTAGAATGACTAAAGGTTTTTATTTTAACTAATTTTTAATATTTTTACATTCTAGTTTAAAAGCACTCACTTTATGTGCTGGATAAAAAAATAACATTACGAAAAATAGTTATAAACATATATAAATCGCGGGAAGAAATTGAAGTGGTTTATTTAAGAAGAATAAAAGAAGAAAAAATAAGAAAAAATACTGAATTATTTATTAGTTTCTAAATAATTTTTATTTAAATTTTACAAAATAAAAAAATAGGAACTTGCTAAAAATTAAGATAATATTAGTAACCATTTAAAGAAAGAAAATTGTGATTTAGTTATTAATATATTAATTAAATATTTATAAATTAATACATTTAAAATAGTTGAAAGAAATTTTAGGATAAAATAAAGAGTTCATTATACCTGAATATTTTAAATGCAAATTAACAAAAGTTATTTTTTTATTTTTTCTCAATTATTTCAATTATTACTATATAAGTAAATTATGATTGATCCAATTACAACTAAATATGGAAATACATATGAAAGAGAAGCTCTAGAATAATATTTTTAAGAAAATGAATAAATAAGAGATCCTTGTAATGGATAATTATTAATGAATAAATAAACTGATATTATTTCTAATATAAATTTAAAATAAGCAATTTAAGAGTTTATTAAAATGTAATATATTTTATAACTAGTAAATTAATTTCTTTTATTAATTAATAGAAATCCTTGGGCTTTTGAGTTTAAAGAAAATTAAACAATAAATGATTTAGAGTTTTGAGAAAATTATTTAATTTTTTTTTTTAAATATTTAATTAAAATTAAATATTATTTTTTGTTATTTTGTTATTTTAAATTTTTAAGAATTTATTTTAAAAATAATTATTGAATAAATAATATGTATTTATATTTTTTTTATGTAAATAATAAATATATATAAGTTTAATTATTACTATTATAATATTTATTCTCAAAACATATATTTTATTTCTTATTTTTAAATATTAAATGCATAATTTTCATATAATTTGTATTTGTTTATTTACGCTTTTTTTTTTAATTTAATTTCTTATTAAATCGACTTTTCCTCATCATTTGTTTAATTCATTCCTAAATTAGAAGTAATTTATTCTGTTTCACTATTATAGTTATAGGATTTTAGGAAATATTATAAATTATCTTAAATATTTTAATTTTATTCATTCTTAGAATTAAGAATTTAAACCATTTCAGTGTTCATATCTTTTATAATTTTTTTTTAAATTTTAGTATTTTTATTTGGCTTGAAATTAAATATTTTCTCAGATTATGGTGATAAATCATTTTTTAATGGAATTATTATTTATTAATTTTATTTTAATTCATTAATATATAATTCTATTTTTTTATTATTTTCCTTGTTTATTTGAAAATAGCGAGGTTTAATTTCTATTTAAATATTTAAAATATTTAAGACTTATTCAAACTTTTCCATTTATTTACTAATCATTATAAGGTCTTCATAAAGATTGTAAAGTTTTAAACAAAATTCATCTTTCTCTTTTAATATTCTATCTATATTATTTATAATAATTATGTTAAAAATTTTAAATTAACAAAAAAAAATAATACCTTTTATCACATCTATGACTGCAGAACAATAATTAAATATAATAAATAAATCAGAAAAAAAGATTTTAAAAGATTCACAAATAATTTGTTATTTTTAGCTTGTACAAGCAGAAAAATATACTTTTTAATGGCACTTTTATTATAATTAAATTAATTTATTATAATATATAATATTTTACTTTAATAGTTAATTTTAATAATTTAATAATAGGCTTAGTTTATTGATAAATCTACTATATATCTAATTGTTTTAGATTTTATAGAGAATTAGTTTTAACATAAGAAGAACATTCTAGATAAACACAGTAATTATTTGCAATAAATTAGAGGAAAAAATAATAAGTAATTATTATGTGAATATGAACTTAGTCCACTTTTATTATTATATTAATTAAAAAAATATATATTTTAAATTTACTTTATGTATATGCCTTTAAATTTGAGTTCATCTCTTAATATAAATTAATTTCACTCATTGGAATACAAAAGTCAAGATCTAAAGAATGTATCAATTTATGTATTAAATATAAATATTTTAAAGATTAAAGCCATAATTAGGAAGATTTTAAATTATCAAACAACTTTTTAAATGATTATTAAGAGTTTATATCTCTTTATAAACATTATATTTAGCTTTTAATAACTTTTTTTTGAAATGAATTACAGTATAAAATAAATTTATAATTTAAGTTTTAAAATAAAATATTGAAAAATTTACTATTAAAATCTTTTTAAGAAGGTGTATTAAAATCTTTCGAAGTATTTATTTTTAATAAAACCTGTAATATAGTAAAAAAATTTATTTATTTTTTATAAAATAATTAAGAAAAATATAATGTAAGTATTACTTTATCAAATTAGTTGTTCGTTACTATATACTATATTATATTTCTAAGAGATTACATATTTAATATTTTTTATTAATATATAATTATAATTTAAAAATAAATATTAATTAAATATTTATTTAAGATAACATAATAATTTATTATTTTTGTTTAAATTTTTATTTATATTTAACTATAATTTTTAAAAAAAACAAGAAATAAGTGTCTATTTTTTTAACAAATCAAAAAATATATAAAAAAATACATATTTATTATTAATATATATTTTATTTTCAAATTATTTTCAAATTTTTTATTTTTCAAGATAATTTTAAGTGAGATTTTATAGAAATATTCGTAATTATATAGAATATTTTATTATTTGTATTTGATTTTAATAAATATTATTTTATTTTCTTTAGAAATAAATAATTATGTTTTACTTTTTGAATACAAAATTATAAAATCATGTATTTTTTTTAATATATACTTAAATTGTTAATTTCTTAGAGTTCGTATAAATAAATTAATTTTTTAATTTTTTTAAAAACAATTAATATTATAATTCTTTATATTGAAAATTAATAAGTCACTATAAAACTTTTCATCGTTTATAAAGGAAAATTTTTATATTATATTTCATTTAAAATAATTAATAGTCGAAAAAAAATCATGTGTACCAATAAGCTAGTTTTTTTATTCAGTCTTTTATTTTAAAATCAAAAATTAAAAATCATGCTTTAAAAATAATTGCTATCAAATTATCATTGATAAATATTTATTTCATAATAATGAGAAAAAATAGATATAATTGCAAAATTAAAAGCTTAAAAATATATTTTTAATTTATTTTTTATTATTTAAAGTAAAATTTTTTGATTTGCTATTATTAAAAACTCATACTTAAAAAAAATATAAATATAAATAAATATACTAATTAATTATAAAAAAAAATATATCATATGTTTAATTAATACATAACTATGAATAAATTCAAAATTATGTAAATCTTTTATATTAATAAGTTAAAACTTCGAATCATATTTAATTTAATTAATTAAATATTTATATATATTTCTTTTCAATAAATAATTAAAATAGATAAAATTATTTTTTCTTAAAAAATTTTATTATGTGTAAATTATTTTATTATTTTTTCTGTATTTTTTTTAAAAAAAAATAATCAAAAAAAACAAATGCGAGAATTAATGGATTAATTTTATTGTTATTTAAAAAAAAAAAATTACAGAATAAAAAAAAAAAATATCAACAAATAATATATTCAACTTAATTATATATATATATATTTATTTTAAATATTTTTTATTTTGTTTCTTTAAATATTCAATATATATTCTTAATATAGTTGTGAAAATTATCATTTTCAAGAATAATTAATATAACCTTTATGTTTAAATTCTTGAATATTTAGGAATATCGAAATTATTTGATATATAATAAAACCAGTATTTGAACTTCGCAAAAAATACCAATATCATGCGGTGGTGGAAGATAATTCCAAATTAAAAATACTAAATTTATATTAAATAATATTTAATTTATCTTCAGATATATCTGGTAGTATTTAATTCTTTCAGAAATAAGAAGTATACTAAAAATAATAGTAGTAGGAGTGATATATCTTAATTATGGTATACTAAAGGAGTTCAAAACTACTAATTATAATATAAAAGATGATACTGTCAATATATTTATTTTTACTCATTACATACTTTTATGTCCTTAAATTGATATTATTATAATGGAATTTATAAAGTGTCTAACCCAAGATTTTTTTTTAATAAAAAATATAAATTTAACTTATTTATATATATAAAGGTTTTTTAATAATAATTAAAGAGAGCGAGCTTTAGATAAAACATTTTTTTAGGAAAATCTATTTACTAAATCAAATATAAATAAATTAAAAAAAGGTATTTTTGATCGGCATATTATTTTAAAAAATAGTAACTTTAATTTTTTTTCCATTAAATATAAATATTTATTGGTTTCATATTAATAATAAAATTATTTTTCAAATTAACGATTTTAAGTTACTAAATAACTTTCTTAATTATAAACATTCAATTTTACAAAATAAACTTATTAATCTCATATTTATAAAAAAATTATTATTTTTAAATATAAAAAAATATATATTGTATCTAAATCGAAGGTTTAATATATATAATTTGAATTATTTAAATATTAAAAATGTTTATTTAATTATTAAAAATATGTATTACATAATTTGTGTGTTATATTTACAATTAAATTTCTTAATAAAAAAATATTAATTTTTCTTGAATATTTTATTTATATTTTTTGATGTTCCTTTTTTATATTATTTTTATTTGTTTTTTAATTAATTCATGGCATTTAATTAATTATTTAATATTAAATAAAATAAACAAAGCTTATTTGTATAAAATAAAAAAATAAAAGAAAAGAAATTTTATTAATTAATTTAAAAAATAATTAGTTGTTGATATTAATTCATAATAATATTTAAATTATGAACTTTTTCTATTTATAAATTATACATTTTTTACTTAATAATATATATTATTGCATATTTAATTCTTTAAATTATACTATTTATTTTTTTAACTTATATTTAAAAGAAATTTAATTTAAAAATAAGTATTTGATTGTTTAAAAAATTCAATTAAAATATTTATTTTATATTATATATTTTATCAAAAAATCCAAAAAGATTTAATTTTTTTTTTGTCCTTCTATTATTCAATTATTAATACTTTTATTCTATAATAATTCATTTAATTTATTCTTAATTATATACTTATTATTTAATTTAATAAAAAGTAATAAAGATATTTATCAATCTAAAAATAGTTTTTTTTATATTATTAATATTTATACTAATAGATAATAAAATGAAGAGAATGTTTTATCTACAAAAAACACACTATTTAGTATTTTCAAGTATATATAGAAAACATTAAAAGCAATTTCATACATGTATAAAAATTCATAAACACGCAATCAATTTAGTTAGAAAAGCAAATGGAAGATTAACTTTAGTCATTATTATTAAAAAAGTAAAAGCTGTAATGATGATTTTTATTTCAGTTTAATTTAATTTATTTTATTTAAAATTTTTATAATACTTATATATTCTATGTTTTTAATTATTTATAATTGGTTCGTCATATTTCTATATTTTATTTATTAAGCAATTTAAATTTTCAAAATGAATAACTTAATAATATTCAATATAATTTAAATATTTATAATAATTAATTTTTTAATTTTAAGTTTATACTATTCCTATTTTAAAACTTTTATAAAGATTTAGTGTTACTTTTACACATAAAGAATTTATTTTTTATAAAAAATATTGTTTTTTTATTTATAAAACTTTATTAAAAGAAGGTTAATTTAGAAAAAAATAAAATATTTTTTTTTTTAAATATAATTTTTTTTTTAAATTTTTTTTTTTTTTTATAATATTAATTATTAATTTTTTATAATTAGAATAAATAAAAAAATAAACATCATCAATTAATTATTTATAAAAATAAATAAATTCGATTTAGTTATAAATTAAAATAAAATAAAACAAAATTAAAAATATATTATTAAATAAAAAAAAAAACAATTAAAAATAATAATTAAAAATATAAAAACATATAAGCATATAAAATGTAAAAATAAGATGATTAATCTAAAAAGTCTCTTGATGATTAATAAAAAAAATAACTCGAAGATTAAAGATTAAAATTAGATTTATTGCATTGCTTTGGATCTTTATGTTCAAATAATTATCGAAATGCAGTCGTAAATAAAATTAATATAACTAATAAAATAAAATAATAAAATAAAGGGAATTATAGAAGAAGATGGATATAGTATATTATTTCCCGTTGGAAAATATATAGCAATTAAATAAAATGATAAAAACGACATGGCGTTTATGCGATTAAGCGAAAATTTGGAAAAAATTATGTGTATGGCAATATCCCCTAACAATAAATTTATAGCGATATGTGAAAAGCATAAAAACGATGATAGTTAAAGTAAAAAATGTCCATAAGTGTTTATATATAATATAAAATCTTACACAGTTAAAGCTAATTTGTAAAATGAAAAAAAATTATTTTCTTATCCTGATACTTCTTCTCATACTTTTATTTCTATGGCGTTTTCTTAAGATTCCAGATTTATGATTTGTCTAACGGAAAGCCCAGAATTTAAACTTGTTTTCATTGATTTGTTGGCCACTAAAAAAGACGTTGCAGGAATTATTTTAGGAATTCATGTTAATAAAGTCAGTATTTCTCCTTAAGATAACCACATGGTAGCCATTTCAGGACACTCATGTTTCAAAATATTAAGAGTTTAGGAAGGTTCATTTTCTTATGTTTGTGAAAGTGTTAGAAGATTACCTTATACTAATATTTTATTTACCGACCATATATGGTTAGATGAAGGTAAAATCGCGTTAAGTAATGATAAAGGAGAAATTTTCATAATTTATGAAAATGAAGTTAAATAATATATATAAAATGCTTTTGATATACCTTCTTTATCAATTAATTGTTTAGCTAGGCTATCTAAAGGACTAATTGTGGGTTCTGAAAATGGAATATTTTCTTATTGGTTAAAAAATGAGAATGTATAAAATTATGATAATAATGATTTCTAAATGAATCATATTAGATGTTGGAGTAGTGATAGAGGTGTGGGATGTGCTTGTATTTCTATTAGTTAAAATGAAGATTTTATGGTTGTTGGATTTTTAAGCAATGATATCGGAGTTTTTGACTTAACTAAACTTATTCCTTAAGTACCTGAATCAGTAATTTATATGTATATATTTTTTATAGTTTTAATGTGTATTTATTTAAATGTATAGGTTGAATCTTTGAAAAGTAATAATATTTATATGGAAAAAAAACTTAAGTTTGATTATGTTTTTAATGGGTTCCATTCAGGGCCAATAAATTGTCTAGATGTATGTCTTTAAAGGCCTTTAATTGTTACTTGTTCATAGAAAGATTCTACTATAAGAATTTGGAATTACGTGAACTTTAAATGTGAATTAGCTAGTATTTTTTTAAAAAAAATTGTTTATTTTATTTAAAATATATAAAAAGGAAAATTTATTACAGATAATAAAGAAAAATCTCCTTTATTAAGTGTAGCTTTTCATCCTTCTGGATATTATTTAGCAGCTGGGTTTATTGATAAATTTAGATTATTTCATGTATTAAAAGATGAATTGAAACCTTATAAAGAATAACCAATAAAAAATGTTACTTTTTTAAAATTTTCAAATGGTGGATAATATTTGGCTGTTTGTTTTCCTAAAACAAAAAATTAACTAAATTAATATTCAATTAATATTTACAATGCCTATTCTTTGTAACTTATTGCTACTCTTAATGGGCCTCCTAGTTAGGTAAGTGAAATAGTTTGGGGGCCTTATGATGAGTTTATTATTAGTTGTTCACTTGATGGAACTATTTATAGATGGTATTTTTTTCTTTTTCTTTTTTATTTTTTATTTCAATTTTTTAATTTTAAAAGGGTTCCTGCTTTCACTTGTTTTCATGGAAATACTAATATTAGTATGAATAGAAGTGAAAAAAAGATTATTGAGAAATCAAATTTAAAAGTATAATTTTTTGTTTTATTTTTTTAAAAAATTAATTTTTTTAGTATAAATATACGAGTGTATTATATAATACATAAACAAACTTAATTTGGGTTGCAGGAGGAAATGATGAAAGTTAATAAAAAATGATATGGCTTATATGTATTTAATAAAAATAGGTAAAGGAACTGTTTATGGATTTACAGATTAAGTAGAATTAGATACGAGGGATAAATTTAATTTATAACATGGAAATTAAATTAATAATTTTTCTGTTTCAGATATGGATTATGAATTAAAAAATTATAGAATAACCTAATTTTGTTTTCTTTAAAGTTTTTATAATTATTATGGAATTATAGCTGGGACAAATACTGGTGCTATAAAAGTATTAAAAAATAATATATTTTTGTAAAATAAAATATATTAGGTTTTTGGACATCATTTTAGTACTATTCCTTATGAAACTATACAAGCACATTGTGGATAAGTTATGTAAATAAGAGCAAGTCCTGATGGCCGATTTGTATTCTCGACAGGAGAAGATGGGGCTATATTTATATTCTAAGTAAAATAAAACTTTAATAAAAAATTATTAGTAAAATAATAAAAAAGGTTTCAGAAATTACAAAAGAAGGTCAAGTACTAACTAAGAGAACTGGAGATATGAAACCAGAACAAACAGCTATAACAGATGTAATAAAAATACATATTTATATCATCTTTAAAATAAAAAAGAATCCAAAAGCATTTGTAGTAGATGAACATTTGGCAGATGTACTAATGGTATAAAGAAACGAAATAGAAAATTATATATAAGAAAATGATAAAATCAATACTTAGTATAAGGAATTTTAATAAAGGATGAAGAATATTATAAGGGAAGATAAATCTCGTTTGGAATATAAAATATCATAAATGAAAGATAGTTATGAGGAAGAATTAAAAAAAGAAAGAAGAAAATATGATGAACTATAATAAAATAAATAAGCTATGGAATAAGATTTTTAAATAATGATAAGTGGAATAGAAGAAAAAAATTTAAAAACTGTTGAAGAATTAGAAGGACTTTATGAGAGAAAATTGTCTTTTGAAAATGATAAATATATTTAATTAGAAATAATTTTGAAAGAAGAAAGAGTAAAATTTGAAAGGAAAACTAAAGAATTATTGGATAAGCATGATTATAATTTAAATTTATTAAAATAGGAATTTAATATAAACTTTTCTAGTGCTTAAAGGGTGTATGAAACTATGAAATAAACAACAGAAGATGTAAAAAAAATATATGAAGAAAAAATTTCGTAATAAGAGGAAGAACATGAAAACGAGAATACTCAATTATAAGAAAATAAAAATAAAGAAATAAATGAACTTTAAGAAAAAATATAAGAATTATCTTCCAAAAATAAAAAATTGTAAAATCTAATAGATTGTTTAAATGAATAACATTAAAATCTCCTAAAATCGTTAGAAGAAAAAGAAATTAATTTTTTAAATACTAAATAGCTATTAAAAGATTAGTAAACCATGTTTGAAAATCTTAAAAATGAATGTAAGTAACTTGAAGATATTACTAAAAAAAAAGAAAAAATAATATAAAATTAAAAGTTCACTATTTCTGATCTTTAAAAATCTAAGCATGTTCTTTAATTTAGAACGACTGAAATGCGTTAAAGCTTAGAACCAAAAGAAGTATAATTTTTTTTTTTTTTTTTAAAAAAAAAAGATAAATTATTAAAAATTATATACAATATGTATAAATATATTCAAACAATAATGTTAATAATTATTATAATATAATAAAAAATAGGAATAAATAGAAATACTAAAGAATTAATTGTTCAAAATTGAAAAGGAGTTTGAAGATATGATGCAGTTATAGTAAAAGTAGAGTGAAGAAATGCAAAAAATGTAAATTCAAATAGAAAATCTGAAAAGAAATTTAAAATAATAAACAGAAATAACTCGTTAAAAAGACATTTTAATCTAAAAAATAACAATTGAAATTCATAATTGTGTATAAGAAAAAGACATAAAAGAGTGGGCTAATGAAATGTAGAAATTATATTAAACTTATGTGAAAAATTAAGAAATAAAAGAAAATACTTTAAATGAAAAAGGAGTATAAGAAATGCAAAAACAAATATAATATTTGGAAAAATCCATATAATAAATAGATAAATCATCATAAAAATCAACTATTAAAAGAGATATGGAAATATACAAAAAAACAAAGGAAAATGCTGAATTAATTAATGAAATTAACGAAATAAGGAAAAATAATAAAGGATATTTGGATGAAATTTAGAGTCTAAAAGCACAACTTAAAAATAATGAAAAAGAATGCAATAATTACAAAAACGAACTGAAAAGAATAAAAAAATAACATTCTAAGAGAAAAGATGGAAACAGTAGTGTTTCTTATTACAAAAAGTTTAATAGTATTGATGCTAGTAGTTTAGAAAGTTCTCTCTTTAACAATAATAATAATAGTGAATCTATGAATAATTAATATTCATTGCCTTTAATTAAATAATAATAAAATGTTAAGTCTTCTTTATAAAATAGTTTATAAAAAGGGAAACTTATTAGAGGTTTTAATTATGATAAAAAAACTTAAGCGACTTTTGATAAGGCTAAAATGATGGATTTGTTTTCTTAAATAGAAATTAAGGATTAAAAAATGTATTATTAAGAAAAATTCATTAGAAAATTAAAATCAAAAATAAATTAACATATTTTAAACTTCTCTTGCGATGATCCAAATTTTGAAGATTATAAAAATCATGATGATACGACTTAAATATAAAAAACATATATAGAATGATTACTTTATTTATATATATAAAAAAAAAAATTTCGAATAAAAAAATATAAATATATTAAATTTATATAATTATCAATAAAAAAGCAAGAAACAAAATATTAAATATGGGAATAAATACATCGTCCCCAATTCAATATTCAATAGAAGTATCTGAAAAAAAAAAAGGTGAAACTTCTATAAGACGCTAACCGTAAACAAAATAAGGATTAAAATCAATTCCAAAGCCAAATATAACAGATATGTAAAAGGCATGGATTGATTCTTTGTAAAGAAATAAAGACGAGCTTTGTTTATTTACAAGAAATCCACAAACAAATATTTACGAGGGAAAAACATACCATGAAGTCCATGAATTAGCTTTAGCAATTGGGAGTGCAATTATTAATTTAAATTTAATAAAAAATGTTTAAGAGTTATCTTTGATTGGCATTTTCGCAAAAAATTGTGAAGAATGGACTATTTTAGATGTTTCTAATATGCTTTTTGGACATGTTTTAGTTCCTTTGTATGAAACTATAGGACTTTAATTTTGTTTGGAACATTCTGAAATAAAAACTTGCTTTGTGAATTCTTTTTCTTTAAATATACTATTAAAAATTCCAACTTTGAGCTGTTTTTTGGAAAATATAGTTTCTTTAGATGAAAATGTTTCATAAAATATTCTTATATAATTATAAGATTTAAAAATAAATGTATTTTATTGGAAAGATTTAGTTTCTTTAGGGAAAAGCAACCCACAAAAAATTAATAAAAATATAAATTCGTCTTAAATTCTTAGCTTTTCATATACTTCAGGTACTACAGGTATCCCTAAAGCAGCAATGCTTTCTCATAAAAACTTTTTAGCAGTCCTTACTTCGTTTTAAAGCCATTAAGTAATTAATTTTTCACAAGAAGATGTTCATTTAAGTTATTTGCCACTTTCACATGTTTTCGAAAGGGTTTTTATACATGCTTTATTATATGCAGGGGCTAAAATATAGTATATTTAATTTATATTTTTTTTATTTAAATTATTTTAGTTATTATTCTGGAGATGTTAAGAAAATAAAAGATGATTTAAATGATGTAAAACCAACATTTTTTATAAGTGTTCCTCGTTTATTTACTAGAATATATGAATTAATAAGTTAAAAATTTTAAAGAATTTCTGGAGTGAAGCGCTTTTTGTTGGATTTGGCAGTTTCTACTAAACTTTATAATCTAAAACATGGATAAACTTCTCATTTTTTTTATGATAATATTATTTTTAATCAAACTAAGGCCTTTTTTGGCGGGAAATATAAATTTTTGGTAACATCATCCGCACCAATTTCATAAGAAATTCTTTCTTTTATAAAAATAATATCGTGTGTACCTGTTATTGAAGGATATGGGTAAACTGAGTCCACAGGAGCTTCATTTTCAACTCATTTCGAAGATCCATAAGGAGGACATATAGGTGGTCCTACTTGTTGTGTAGAATATAAACTTAAAGATGTGCCAGAATTGGGTTATTTTTCAAATGATATTGATGATAAAGGAAATATATAGCCCAGAGGAGAAATATTATTAAGGGGTCCAGCTATATTTGAAGGTTATTTTAAAGAAAAAATGCCTTTTTTAGATGATGAAGGGTGGCTTATGACTGGAGATGTCGGTATGATTGAAGGATAAAATTAAAGATTAAAAATTATTGATAGGAAGAAGAATTTCTTCAAAATGTAATAAGGAGAATATGTTGCTCCAGAAAAAGTAGAAAATGTCCTTTTGAGATTTAGGGGAGTAAATGAAGTTTTTGTGTATGGAAATTCGCTTGAAAATTATTGCATTTGTATAGTTTTTGGAGAAAAAGAGGCACTTTTGAATATTGCAAAAGAATTGAGAATTTAATAAGAAAATAATGAAAATTATGATGTTTTTAAAGATTTTCTTGTTAAAGATTTGTTTTTGAAAAAACTGGAGAGTTTCGGGAAAGCAGAAGGGTTATAAGGGTTTGAAATTCCAAAGAAAGTATATTTTATTAAGAAGTCTTTTTCTGAATATGGATGTATGACAAGTAGTTTTAAAATTTAAAGACATTTGGCTAGAGATATTTTTAAATAGGAAATTTTATCTATGTATGAGAAGAAAGTTTGATTTTTATATTTTTTTTATGATAAATAATAAAAAATGAATATAAAATAATTAATAATTTTTTATTTTTATTTCAATTTTATAAATTTTCTAATAATTTTGCTCTATTGTTTATTTCAAGTAATGAATGCGAAGAATAAGGATTCTTTTTGTCATCAAGGGCATCTTCTTTATCTAAAACGAAATATCCGATTTGTTGTGAAATCATAGATGATTTTTTTATCATTTAATCAATAATTACATCGGATTGTTTTCTTCTAAATTAACTACTTTTTTTTCTAGTTATAGATTACTCAACATGATCAACTCCACTTTAATCGTGAGAAATATTTTCTATTTTTTAAATAAGAACACTAAACAATATCATTATTAAGCCAATGCCAGAGAAAATATTTAAATCAAACATTTCCATTACATATTTATAAAAAGGCAAAATTACATCAGTGAGAATAGCAATCATATTAGCCATTGCAAATATAATATGGTTATATTCGTTAGGAATAATAAAAGGAAATAAAGTTAAAAGTGCCGGAAAAGAAATTCTGTTTGAAATTTTAGTTGAAATAATATTAAACATTTAATAAGTAGGATTTTCATAACTAATTAAGAATGTAGTACTTTAAATGACTCCTAATGTTATAAAATTAAAAAAAATTAATTTTTTCGTGCTTATTTTTACACATAAATATACAGCAATAACACTTCCAATAAAGTCTGATATTATAGAAATAAATACATTAAGTTAAATATTTCCTCCTATTTTATTAAAAGCAATAAAAGGACATAAATAACTCACATCACAAAGCGAAAAAGCGAGTGTAAAAATAATACTATTTTTCAAAATTAATTTACTGCTTTTTATTTCTTTAAATTTTATTACCAAATCTTATAAAAAATTTGCTGAAATCGTATGTGCATTTGCTGAATGTTCTTAACTGCTTATTTTTCGAACATTTTCCAATAAAGGATTTTATTTGCTTTCTAATAAAATAAAGAATATGGTCAAAATAATTGTCGGATATCCACTAAAATACGTTATATGATGGACCCAAAAACCACTTATTTTTGTTAGTCCAATATATATTATAGCGCCTCCTGACCAAAACATATTTAAAGAAACAACGGAAATTTTTCGAATTTCTTCTACGTAATGTTCATTTACAAAATTGAATATTTAAGAATATAAATAACAATAAGTAAAGTTCCATTAAAATATTATAAATAGTAAAGCATAATAGCTATCGTAAAAAAACTATGCCATTATTAAAAAAATTGAATCTATTATAAATAATATTGAAATGACTTTAAACTTCTTATCTTTTGGAATTTAATAGAATATTGCTACTAAAAAGGCAAAAACTTATCCAGATAAACCGATTGATATAAGGGAGGCTTCCATTATTTTCTTTTCACAAAATAAACCTAGTTCCATTGATATACTTGTAAGTCCGTTAGTGTTTACAAATCGATACTTATAATTATTTTCGCACATTTAATCTTCTTAACATGATTACCATTCACCATTTATCATGCATTCCATATCTGATACATAATATAGGTAAGGCATTGAGTTAAATATATTTCCTTCTAAAGCATATATTAGGGATAAAATTAAAAATTATAGTAATTATTTTTTTGGAGTATTTTTAAACATTTTTTATTTTTGTGAAAACTAATATTTATTAAAAAGTTAATTTTTATTATGTTAAATATTTATGTATAAATTCTTTCTTTTTTTAGTTGCTTTAATTTAACTTGAGATATTATTATACTTTTTAAAAAATTTATTAAATTTTTTTTTATAAATATTTATTATTTTAAATAATACGACTGTCATAAATTTGATTATTTTTGTGTTTCAAAATCATAAATTTAAAAATATTTAATATAATTAACTATTATATTGGTGCTTTTGATATGCATTTTGAAAAGAAAAAGAAGAAAAAAATATAAAATTAAAAATTATTTATATTATAATGCAACGAAATTAATTAAAATATGTAATACTTTTTAAATTTATAAATGTTTAAAATATAATCTATAGTAGATATATTAATTGATTTAAAATTAATAAAAAATTATATTAGTTGCTTAAAGAATTTTTTATTTTTTCTGTAATTTTATTTTGAAATTCAAATAATAAAAAAAAGGCCATTATACATTTTTTTTAGCCTTTTTTTTATAGATTGAGTTTTTAAAGAAAAAAATACAGAAAAAATAAAAAAAGAAAAGTTATAAACAAGTAATAATTTCTATTTTTAAATTTTCATTTTATAAAAAAACATAATAATAGTTTTATTAAGTAAGCAATCAAATAATAATATTTATTCTAAAGTAAGAGAATTAATAAAATATTTTTATACATCAATTTTTTAGTTTATATTTAAAAAAAAAAAATACTAGAATACTAATAATTATTTAATTAATATAAAATTTATTAAATAAAATAAAAACTAAATAATTTTTATCTATAAATTAAAAAATATATATTTTTAATTTTAAATGTTTTTTATTATTTATAAACAAATATTAATTAAAATAAAAATAAAATTAATATTCATTTTAATGTCATTGATTTTTTTTTTTCGGTTTCCAAAATCTTCCATACTTTTATATTTTTTAAGGCTTTAAATGTAAAACCCATTTCCATTCTTCTTTATTTTAATTTTCTTTTTATTCTTTAGCAATTTCTTATTTATCTATATATTTGTGTTGCATCATTTATGTTCTTATTTATATTAATCTAAAATATTCAAAATTTTCATATTTATAAACGAAAAATCGAGTAATTTTTCTAAAAAAAGAAGCATCGTTTATGTAATCTTTTTTTTAAAAAAAATAATATAGACAAAAAATTAATTATAGAAGAAAAAAATACATTATTTTAATGTCTTTATAATATTCATTTTATATCTTTTATTTTAAATTATATTTATATTATAAAAATAAAAAATTAAATTAAAATGTTATTATTATAATATATTTTTTTTTTTATTATTTATAGTCTTTTAAATTTTTATTTTCTTTTATTAATTTTTTTTTTTTTTTAAATATCAATTTTCATAATCATCATCATCTTCTTCTTCTATATTATCATTATTTTATTATTTATGTTTTAAACTTTTTGAAGCACTCCCATTTTATTTTTAATTTACTAAAAGAATATTAGAAAGTTCCATACTTTCAAAGTTATCTTTTTTTAAATAAAAAAAAAAGATAAATAATATAAGTTTAGATTAAAATTACGTTAAGTATTTTCAAGTTTATCTAATCCTTTTAATTCCGCAGTGTTCATAAGCCTAGACTACTCAAAAATTAATTCTTATTTTATACTTAATTCTCTTAAATAATCAGGATCTTTTAATAATTCATTTTATTCTTATACTCTCTTTTTATTTTTAAAAAATATATATTTTTTTAAATAATTATTACTAAATTTTCTTCAATTATCTTTTTTTTGATTTCATCGATTTCAGGAATTTAATAATCTAATTAATTTTTCTTAATAAAAAAATAATTAGACTATTTTTAGTTTTATTTATATTAATTTATTTTACTCTTAACGATTTATATATATATTCAGGCGATATTGTTTTTTTTCCTTCTTACAAACATATTCTATTTGCATCATCTGATATATGATAAATGTAATCTTTTATTTATGTAAAAAATATTTAATAATAAGGAATTAATAACAAAAAATATACCTTTTGAGAGTTTTATTATATAATTAATAAATTCATTAGAACATTTTAGTCCTTTCAAATTTTCTCTTACAAACGCATTTATAGTTGCTAAAGTTAAGAATATTGAAATTCTTTTTATTTTTATGATAATATTTTACCTCTTGGTAGATTTTCATCACCTTCCATTTGTATTTATATCTATTTATTTATTTTATTTAAAACACATAAAATAGGAATTTTATTTAAATAATTAAATATTATATGAGTATTTAAGTAAAAAAAATATTAATTTTATCTAATAAGTGTAATAGTATTATATTTTTTTTAAAAAAAATAATATTTTATTATATATTTTTCTTTGTTTATGTATAAATAAAAAATAGAAAAAAATTAAAATATAATATAAATTAAAATTTTAAAAAAATATTTTTTATTTAATAAAGGAAAATATTTTTAAAATAATTATGCTTAAACTCCAAATTTTTGAAATTTTTTTTTTTAAAAAAAATAATAATATAAATAATATTTATTTCAAAAATTATTAAAATATATTTACTTAATTATATTATTATAAAAATTTTAATCTAATAGTTTAATAATTAATTATCAAAATTTTATTAATTTAAAATAACATTATATATAATTTTTTTTTTTACAAATAATTTATTAATTTATTTTCAATTATTTATTATAAATCAAGAATGCATTTATTACCTATTTATTTTTTATTTAAATTAATTATTATTTTTATAAACATTATAATAATTATTAGTTTTTTATATTGAAGACAATTTTTATTTATTATTAAGATTTTTATTCTCATTAAAATATAGATAAAAATCATCTAATTAACTCTTTCTAGAAGTAGATTTAGATATTTTTTCCTAAGAATTTAAAGAAATATTTTTTATATAATCATAATCTTAATTAAAACCAGAAAAATCCTAAGAATTTTTCGTAACAGAATTAAATTCTCTCCCAGAATAATTAACTTTACTAGTATTATTATTAGTTTTACTATTTAGATAATCACAAATAGTAAAATTTTATCTAAAATGAAATCCTTGAATAATTTATATTTGAAAATTTAAGTTATTTTTTTAAACGAAATTTTTTTTTTTTTATTATTAATATTATTAAAATAACTTTTAATTTTATTAATTATTTATATTTTAAAAATTACTTTTCTTTCCAAAAATAAATTATTATTTTATATTTTATTCATCATTATTTATAAAATTATTAAAATTATTTAATTATTTATAATATATTTATTTATTGATAATACTTTGTCGTTTTTTTTCCTCCATAGCAATTAATTTAGAAGTATCCTTTAATTTATTAAGCAACCCGTATTTATTTTATTATACAACTTAATTCGATTTATTTTATGATACAATATTTACTAATCTACTTTTTGTTTAATTTAATGTAGAGTCATTTCTTTATCTTGTTTGGCTCATAGTAATTACTTTATCTTGAAATTAAATCGTTTCTATTTTATGTAAGATTGGATTTTCTTAATAAACTGAATTATTTTCGTAGCTTTAATAGCTATCAGAATATTTTTATATTATGTTTATACTTTTTTCCATATTAATATCATTAAAATAGTCTATCATAATATTATTTTGAGGACTTTTTGTTTTTCTTTCATTACGATATTGACTTTCTGTTATGTTTTTATTACATACTCCATGTTTTTGCCAAACTGTTGTTCTTTTTGATTCTAATTTTTAGTTTATTTATTATAATATTTAATCTTTTTCATTTGGCTAATATTACTTATATCTATATGTTTTATGTTCTTGCATTATATGTTCTTTTATTACCATATTATTTAATAATTAATCAAATTTTTTAATTTTTTAATTCATATTTCCCGTTTTACTACAATAGCAACTTTTACGGCGGTAAAAAAATTGCCTTAATAATTTTTTTGTTGGAATTTCGAATGTATTTATATCATACATATTATATGTTAGTTATTCATTAGGACTTAAGCATCCTTTTATAATTTTATATTTTTTATATATTTTTTTTTTTTTTACTTTTAAATTTATTTGTGATTATTGTAGCATTTTATTTTAAATAATATTATTTTATGTTAAAATCCTATATTTATAATGGTATTAATTTCTATTATTTTTATGTTTAATAGATTTCATTTATTTAATTAGATTAATTATTTTTTTAAGTTTGTTCGTTAAATTTTCCTATTTACATTGAATGTTTTAAATTATCTTAATCTATTTAAAGAAAAAAGAAAAAAATAAATTATATAATAAATTTTATGTTTTTTCATTATATATATTAACTTCCTATTATATTATCGTCATACTTATTATTATTTTATTTTATTTTTGTTTGGATTTTCTATGTTTATTTTATTAAATTTATAGATTAATTCAATAATATAAATTTTAAAATTATATTTTGTTTAAATTACATTTGATTTTTAATTATATATACAATCTATATATTCATAAGAATAGTTTTTACTAAAAATATTTCTTTTTTTAAAATCCATTTTTATTATGTAAAAAAAAAAAAAAAAAACTTTAAAAAATTAAACATATATATTTTAAATATAACCATAAAAATATAAATATATATGTAATAATAATATATTTTTTGTTCGTATTTATAATTATATTTCAAGCCATAAATTTTAATTATTTAAAATAATTTTAAAATAAAATTAAATAAAATAATATAAAAAATTAATTAATTATTTTTTATATTAATTATACTTAAAAGCTTTATAATAAAATAAAAATAGGTAATATTATATACTATATATTTCTATATGTTTCTATGTATTTAAGAATATTATAATTTTATATAGAATATAATAATTATATATATTTTACAACTTGTAAATTCTAATTAGAGACTTGCAGTATTTTTATATATATAATAATAAAAAAAAAATTACATTTATTTAGTTTTATTAAAATCTACTTATGTTAAAACAAATTTTAATAAAAATAGCTTTTTGATTTTAATTTTTTTACAGTTTTAATTTATTTACTATTTATTTGATTGAATCTTAAAAAAATATATACATTTTTCTTTATTTTATTTTTTTAAAATAATTATTACAAAAATATATAAATTAAAATTATTATAATAAATATAATTATTCCTATTATTTAAAAATAACTTTAATAAACAAAAAATGAATATTAAATAAAATAATCAAACTGTATATTCAATTAAAGAAATAGAAGAATTTGAAGAAGGAAAAAAAGAAGAATCTAAAAACGAATTATAATCTGATAAAAATCTCAATTAAAGGCGTATTACATTAAACTATGCATAAGAAACATCAAACAGCTTTTTAAAAAGAGGTTCTTTAAATTCAGATTCTTTAGTAGATGTAATATAGGCTGTATAGAAATTCAAATTATCTTTAAAAGAATAAATGTTATTAAATTTATTGAAATAAGAAACAATAGATTTAAAGAAAGAAGAAAATCAAAATGTAAAAAATAAAATAAAACAATAATTTATAAATTTAAAAATATATATTATAATTATCATCTCTTCTTATAAAATTAGAAAAAAATATATGTATTCAATAAAATTAATATTAGATTTTAATTTACACTTTAAGAAAGAAACAAAAAAATAAACTTGAGATGGATTTTTTACATAATTTTATCAAAAACCTTGACTTTTTTTAGGATAGAGAAATAGTTTAAACACTTGAAGATAGATAAAATTTTAAAAAAATTAGTAATGGACTAATACACAGGGAATATAAAAAGCATGAAGTTATTTTTAATATAGGTTTTTATTTTTATTTTTTTAAACAATTTTTTTATTTTTTTAGATGATAAAGGTTTGGAATTTTTACTTTAATTAAAGGTTATTATTTTATATTTTATTCAAATTTTTATTTTTTATTAGGAGAAGCTTATTGCTTAATTCCTGATCCTAATTCAAAAAACTAAATTGCAAAAAACAGAAAACAAATTATGCTAATTTAAGAAAAATAAGACGAAAGTTTATAAGAGAAAATGGCTAAAAAATTTCTTAATATTATTTCTGAAAAAATAAATAAAAAAAACGAAGTAGAAGTTAATGTAAAAGAATTTGTTAATATAATGAAGTCTAATATTAAAAAAAAAAATATTTAAAAAGAATAAGGTGGAAAGAAAAAGTTTTTTTTAATTTCTTTTTATAAAAATAATAATTAATTTTTTTATAAAAATAATAATTAATTTTTTTTTAAAAAAATAAATAAATAAAAAGTTTACTAAGATCTGCAACTTAATAATTGTAGGATATTTTAGATGAAGAAAAATATGAAAATACGCATGAATAAGAATAATAATTTTTAAAATAAAATTTTCCTGGTTTTATTGTTGTTAAGATTTTTCATCCTGGTGATAGTTTTGGAGAAATCGCTTTAGTAACATAATAAGGAAGGTATTCATTTATAAATATGTATATATTTAAAAAATAAAAAGAAATGCTACTGTAGTTACAAAAAGTGATTGCCATTTTATGGTTTTGAATAAATAAACATTTGACAAAGCTATGAATTATTATAAAAAATGCGTTTGGAGAGAAAAAATAGAATTTTTAAAATCGTTTTATTTCTTTGCAAATGTTTCTGTGAGAAAACTTTATTAATTAATGCATTAAACAAAAATTTTAAATATAAAAATGAAAGAATAAATATACGAAGAAGGAGATTCTTCGAGATTTCTGTTTTTAATAAAATAAGGTGAAGTTGAATTATAATAGAAATAATATAAAAATAAAAATGTATTTTTTTTATAAAATAATTTATATATATATATATATATATATATATATATATATATATATTTATATATTTATATATTTTTGAAGTAAAAAAAGTATCATGAAGATATATAAAACTTGAAAATGTAAAGGAAATAAAATATCATGTAAACTATCAAAATTATTGGATAAGGAAATTATTTTGGGGAGGAAGAAATAGTTAAATAAATGGATTTTAGAGAAGATAAAGCTATCTGTAAAAGTTAATTTGCAGAATTGTATATAATAGAATAACAAGTATTCTAATATTTTAAATAAGAAAAAAAAAAAAATTAATTTAAAAAAGGTTTTAATAAATTATTTAGGATAAGAATTCTTCGATTAGTATAATATTTAAGTAAAAATTAAATAAGATATTAAAAGCTAAATACTACAAAATGCTGCTGATATTATTTCTCCTTTTACTAATATTGGAAATTTAAGTGAAATTATACATAAATAAAGTTTGAGAAAGATACATGCTTAACAAAAAGAAGAAACAAAATAAAAATTATTAAAAAAATTATATATTAATAAATTAAAATTCGGAAATAACTAAAAATTAAAAGAATTATATTAAAAAATTGAAGAATAAAATATCAAAAAAATATTAGACTCTTCTTCTGTATCTTCTAGTTCTTAAAGTGAAAAAAGCTTGGATAAATTAAAATAAAATAGTAATTTTAAAAAAAGAAAATAGTCATTTGAAACAGATTAAAGTATTTTAGAACTTATTAGATTAAAAAAACTTAAAAATGAAAAAAAATAAGAATTATATACTTTTAGAAGTAATAATATAAATAAAAAAATATATGGTTAGGTATATTTTTAAAATTAAAAATAAAAAACTAAAAAATTAAAATTTATAAAATAAAAGATTTAATAAAAGTATATGTATTCAGAAAATAAAAAACATCAAATTCAACTATAAAAATAGCATAAATATCCCCTTATTTATAACCTAAAAATTAAATTTCCAGAAAAAACATATAAAATGAGTATTTTACTCCTGAAAATATTTCTAATACGAAACAATTAATAGAAAATTCTTCAAATAATTTAAATGAAAGTAAACAATTATTTGATTAGAAAAAAAATTTTAAATAAAATTCAAATATTTAAAAATAATATTTTGTTGAAAACTCTTATAATTTTATTTCAAATACTTTTTTAAAAAAATAAGCACCCCTTTTTAAAAAATAATTAATTTAAAAAAATAATAATTAAATTTCTAGTTTAATCTAAGATTATAAAAAAGAAGATTCAAGTAAATATAGTTTAAAATATTATAAAAGTAGACCAACTGATGTAACCAATAATATAAATTCTCATAATAATTTGAACTAATATCAGCAAGAGTATTCCCTTTAGTAATCTTCAAGCAATGATATGGAATTTCAAACTAAATAAATATGTTTTAATAGAGAAAAATAACGAATTTTTATGAACTTATATAAAATAAGAAAGTCTTAATATTTATAACAAAACAAAAAAGACTCATAAGATTATATTTCTAATTAAATTATTATTCTAAAAGATTAATAATCAAACAATAATTAAATTGATAAAAATACTGAAAATAGTTAAATTAATACAAATAGTATAAATAAATTTTCTACTAATAATCAATTTTGCTTAAAAATATTATAAAATAAAAAGCAAAAATAATAATGATTATATCATAAATTTTCTTTGTGTCTATATATTTAAATAAAATTGTATAAATATATAAATTTAAAAAAAATATTTTTTTTTTACTATATTACTTAAAATAACAAATTCATATTTTGTTATTTAAAGCATTTCTATCTGAATAATATGCTTTTAAAGCTTACTTTCTTAAAACGGGATTTTCTCTATCATAATCCTATTATATATACATATTATATTTTTATTTTTAATTCAATAAAAAAACTAAATATATAATTACCATACTGTATCAAACAAAAGATTATAATCAAAATATTAGTTCTCTTATTCAACTTCTTTTATAGGAAAAAGTTTTTCATTGATCAATTCCTTAGGCAAAAAGCATATTATAATCGATACACTGAAAAAAATAATACTTTTAGTATCTAAATCATCAAAAAGTTGTTTTTTGAAAAAGAAATTTCCGAACTAAAGAATAAATTGTATAATAATTTTTTTTTTTAAAAAAAATACTGTATGAAAAACTAAACAATATTCTAATAATTCTATCATATCAATAGTTAATTATTTCCCAATATTTTCTTTTACAGTCCTTCTGTAAATAAGGTTATATTTATCTGTATAATAATAAAGAGTTACCCCTATAATCGACCATAAAGTTCCCATAGGAATAACTGGACTATAAAAAAATGTAAACCACATCGTTTTCATAATATCAGCATATCTTTTCCCCATTGAATAATCAGGAAATTCCATTAAACTTTATAAATTTTAAAATATATATATAAAAAAATACTACATATTAGCTTCTTTTTAAGTTAGCATAGATTTATTATCTTTCTTCAATTCTTAATTTCTTTTAAAATTTTTTATAATACTCCAAGGGTCTATAATCCATGCAAGTGGTGGTACGAAAGCATTAAGAACGAAAACCCAAAATTCACTATAAATCATACCTCCTCCGATTCCATAATAATTATGAAAAAGTATAATTTCTACTGAAAAGGTGATGAGGGCAGTGTTTGTAAATAAAACTAATGTAAGTTTTGTTGCAAAAGAAGCATTTTATTTTGTTTTATTTGACCATTTTTCATATTCTATGATATGATGGACTATAACTGGTACTATAAATTTATTAAATAGAACAATAATCATAGATATAAAATATGATAATCCAACTACTTTATCTATTTAGGGATTATTATCTAAACTTTAGTTATTTTCTAGGGATTCCTCGTATGCATGTTCAATCATTAATGATTAATAGTAAGATATACTTGCTATTACTGTAAATGTAAGTGTAGTTAGCATTAGTAAGTACATTAATGAAATTATTCGTGCTTTTATTTTTTCGATTGTTGAACAATGTATATATTCCCAATCTATGTCATTTGGTTCTGGGGCTTATTCTATGTATAAATGACGGTCGTAAAAATAAATAGAGGATGAATACTATTAAGATCTTCCACCTTAAAAATAATTTTGAAATCTTTTAATTTAATCTAATTTATTGTGTTTTAAAACTAATTCTTTTTCTATATTTTAAATATAATTTCTTAATATTATTTTTTAGTTTTTTACATATATTTGTTTTAAAACTTATAAATGCTATTCCTTTAAATTTATGACGTTGTTTCTAAATTTATAATTCTTTTTCTTATAATTAATGTTCGAGTTCATGGATTTAATTATTTATCAATAAAATTGTTTGATTTTTTAAATCAAAATTATAATTCAAAATCTTTTGTTTTTCTTTAATTTTTACTTATATTTGCTATTCCAAATTTTAAATTTCTTTAATATCATAAACAAGTACTATTTTCGCAACCTCAACTTTATGTTTAAAAGTTTCGTTATTATTAAATAAATTAGTTAAAGCTTATTCTGGATTTTCAAGTTATGGAGGAATATTACTTACCATAATTGTAAAATCGGAAGGGGTTAAATTTTAATCGTTAATTACATTTTCTAATTACCGTTAGTTTTTTCTGAATACAATTCCCAAAATTATTTAAATTAGCATTGCTCCTATTGAAAAATACAAACCATTATTTAACATTTCGGGTGTATCTAATAGATTTGCTAATGAAAATACAACTATAAAATTAAAAGAACAAGGCGCTTTGAATTTCTAATTATGGTTTTCCTTTACATTTATTTTAATTTATTTTCAATAATAAAATATGTTACTTTGTCTTATTCAATTTTTTTATGCACTTCTTCAGGCGTATCATAGCAGAAATGTCCTTAATTGTTAAATACTATGTTGGGTATTCCTTATATTAAAAATAAGAAAAATAACATTAGTACGCAATATCGTATATAATTATAAAATAAAGGAAATCCTGGCCCTAAAAATCCAAGTTCTTAGATATTTACCATTAAATTGATTGATACACGATTCTTTTATTTTATTTTACATTATAATGTATTTTATGTTATTTTTTTCTTACTATTTCATAACCACAACATTAACATATTTCTTATATTTCTTCTCCACCTTTTTCTGGTTTAGTTTCTCTTGATTTCTTTTATATATTTATTATTTTTAGTTTTTTTGTTTTAGTTATTTTTTTACTGCATGTAATTTAGCTAAATTCCAATCTGGAGGAATTTTTAATTCATCATAATCTTTTTAAATTATAATATTTTTTTTTTCAACAAAAAAAATAACCTAATGATTTTAAATGCTTAGAACTTGATTTTTGCATCAAATTTTATTTTTCATTTATGTTTTGTTTAATTGTAATTGTTTTATTAACACTCTCCCTGATCTTTTGTTTTTAGAAATCCATTTTTGATACCGATAAAGGAGACTGTATCCCTGGAGCCTATAATTATATGCTATCTATTGAATTAAATGCATTTTATGCAAATAAACTTAATGTAATTTTATTTGTATTTATATGATTATTTTATTATACTGTTTAATCAATATTTTATTAATAAATTTATTTAAAGTTATCATTTGCTTGTTAGTTTTAAATCATTTTATATAGAATATATTTAAAAAAAAAAATTGTTATTTTATTAATAATATGTTTTTTATTAAATATAAATCAAATTTTATTAAATTTAAAATTTCCAATAATTAATAATTTTTATTTTAAACTATTGTATTTATAATTTAAGTAAATATTGGTAAACTATTTTTTTTATATAAATCTTATTTATCAAAAACTTAATAATTATTTTTTTAAAGTCCATGTTTTTTGAATTTTCTAATAATTTCCAATCTAAATTAACTCCCCAGCTTTAATTAAAATCTATTAAGTTACTCCATTATAAAAATACTAAATAAAAATAATTGGTATACCCATAAGACAAGGATTAAACAATCCTTATAATTCCAAAACAGATTCAAATCTGCAATTTATTAATGAATTTACAACTAAACTTTGTACAAAAGGTGTAATATTAATGACTTCAGAAAATTAATCGTCTAAATTAAATGGAAGATCGATATTTTAATTTTATAAATTGAGAATTTCTTATATATTTTTGGGTTTTTAATTATTGCTTTATTTATAAATCTTTTTGATTTTTTCAGTTTCTCCTAAAAAAGCTTTAATAATAATTAGTCCTCTATTTTATTTTATATATACTTCTTAAAAATAAATAATAAAACAATAAAAAATTACTAAATATTTAATTCAAAATTAATTTTATCTTATATAAAATTCTAAACTTCTTCAAAAGCTAAATTAAAGTTTCTTTTTCTTCCTAAATTCTCTATTTATATTATTTTCTGAAAATTACTTTATCTTTTTTAAGTCTTTTTCTCCATTTTTAATATCCTAAAATACCTGATCCTCCTACCAAAAAGCTTCCAAACATCAAAAAAAATTTTTATAACGAAGGATTTCCTCCAAAAAATACCGGAATATTTAATTAAAAGCCAAATCTTTTAAATTTAAATGTAAGTTCATATATACCTATTCCAAAACAATTTCTAATTTCCATAGAAGTATTTTAATTTACTACATATTTCCATCCGAAAAATGAGTTTGCCGTCAAAAACCATCCTTAGTTACCTTTTTGGTTTTTTTACGCAAAACCAAAAAATATACTATTTTTTTTATTTATTCCTTTCTAAAAATTTACTTCTTAATTAATTTAATTTTAGTCTATGTAAAATTCAGTTTCCATATTAAGGCTTTTTGTGGGAAAATATTTATTCAAAGTTAAATTAAAAGTAGAACTTCCAGTTGAAAAAGTCGAAACATTTGAAATTAAGTTTAGTTTTTGCCCTATTTTTTTATTGAAACTAAAAAAGTTCATATATCCATAATTTCTTAATTTAAAAATATAAGAAAAATTCATTTTTTTAAATAAAATTCTATTTATTTAAACAGATATTTCTTATACTTTATTTGCATAACTAGTATCAATCTTTTTTATTTTTTTTACTTTTAAAAAAATAAATATTTTATTTACTGTTATATCATTGTTTTTAATTTTCTTTTAAATTCTATAAGTTAGTCCGCCTGTAAAAGAATTTTTATAGTCATCCATGCCTTATGCTTGTGATTAAAATTAAATTTCATGTTAAATTCCATATATTAGGGGTAATTGTATTATTTTAAATATCTATATTTAAGTTATTTTTAACCTTTTTTATTAAGTTGAATTAGTATTACTATAATCTTAGGCGTTTAAATCTATCTTTAATTAAATATTTCTTATATTATTCAAGTAAAATTATTCTTCTGTTTATAATGTTTTAAGATATAACATTTTTTAGTGAATTTTCTTTTATTATAATAAATTTTATATTTATTAATTTATATTTTACTTATTTAAGAATTTTAATTATTTTTTTAGTTTATTAATTTTAACATTATTCATCGTATAAATGATTGAATTCTTCTTCTAAATTATCAAATTTATTTAAATTATTTTAATATAATTTAATTCCTTAGTATAATTATTTATATTTATTAATTTATGGAATTTATTTATAATATTAAACCTTAATACGAATAGTAATCATATAAAAATTTCAAAAAAGGATTTGAAATTGATCTATATGCTTTATCAATTAATTAGAAATGCTTTCTAGATTCGAAATATAATTGTGGATCTTGTTTATCAGGATGAAATACTTTTGAATATTAAAAATATTTATCCCTTATATCTTTAAATTTTGAATTTTAAGGTAAGTTTAATAATATATATGGACAATCAAGCATTTCTTCTTCTTGAATTTGCATATTTATTATTTATATTATATTTTAATTATATATTTATGTATTTATTTATTTTATTTATTAATTTATTTAATTTATATATTTTATTTATTAATATATTTAATTTAATTTTTTATATCTTAATATTTTATTTATATTATTTTATTCCTTTTTATTATATATTATTTTTTTTTGCTAATTTTTTTTTTTTTTATTTTTGATTATATATTAGATTTTTAATTATATTGTTTTTATTTATTAAATATTTTTTTATTTTTTATTTTTTTTATAATAATTCATCTTTTTGGTTATAATTATTTAATCATTTTGAAAGTTTATCTTTATTTTCTTTTTTTAAAAATAAATAAATATTATATTGATTATTTATATATTTTTTTTGTTTAAATATATTTATTTAAATTTTTTAATTACAATTATTATTTATATATTTTAAATCAATTAATCTATTTTTATACCACTTTTGTATTTTTATAGCCGCTTACTTTATTATAATTATTTTTTAATATTTTTTTATAATAAAATATTCAACTTTTTCTATTTAACGAAAATTATTTTAATATATAGTAGATGGTCTATATTATGCTTCAAAATTATTATATTTTTAAGGCTTTGTCCAAAAATGATTACACTTTTATTATTCTGAATGTTATACTTGTATTAAATATTATTCTACTTAAATATTTTGCTATGAATAGTGAATTGTTCTTTAGTTATTTATAAATTATATTAAATTTTTCTTTTAGGTAACTTCTTTTATTTGCAATTATTAATAATGTTATTCATCTAAAGATGTGCATGCTGCACATAAAAAATTTCCCATTTATCAAATAATAATTATTAAGTTTTTATTATAATTTATAGTGTTTTTATAGTAAAAAAAAAAGAATTTTATAAAAAATAAATATATATTTTATATTTAAAATATAATTAATTATAGTTTAATAATATAATTATAATCATTTTCAATTTCCTATATATTGATATTTATTATAAGATTATTTAAATTTAAATAATATAATATTAATATATTTTTTTTGGTTTATCTAAATAAATTTTTTACAAAAAAATAAAATTAATTTATAAATATTAGATTTTAGATTTTACTTTTTTTTTTTTTACTAATTTAAATTAAAATTTAAAAAAGATTAATTTTAAATTCTTAATGTAAATAGAAGTAACTCTAGTAACAGTATTTCTTAATTACATAAAAATATAGATTATTTATAAAATTATTTCTTAAATTGAAAATTTTTATAATTATTATTAAATTCTTTAATAAAAAATATATATATAATATTAATATTAAAACTTTTAGAATTATTATTTATTCTAAAAAAATTGCAAATTTAATAAAAAATAAATAAAAAAGAAATATTTCTTTTATTAAATATTTTTTTTTAAAAATATCATTATATAAATAAATTTTTATTTTTCATTAAGAAGTTGGATTATATCCAGTCAATAATAATGCTTCTTTATTTTGTTTTCCTATTTAAAAATTTTCTTCTTACTTTTTAAAATATTATTATTTTTCTTCTGTAGTTAAATCCCTAATATATCTAAAAAAAATTACTATATAAAAATATTGATTAAAAAAATACCTAACAGGACTTCCTCCCCATAATTAATAAGCAGGAATTAAATGTCCAGCAGGTACAAAAGAGTTGGGAGCAATAACACATCCTCTTTCTAATTAGGAACCTTCTAAAACTATAGAAGAAATTCCAATAGTAACAAAATCATCAATAATACATGATTGTAAAACGACGTTATCTTCTATATTAACATTATTTCCTAAATTTATAATAATTTTTAATTTCGAACATATTGATTATTTTATTAACCTATGGTTGTTGATGTAGGAATTCCAGATGGTAATGTATCTACATTACTAATTACTGTTTTATCACCTATATTAGTATTATGTCCAACTCTATTTTTTATTAAATTATTAAATATATAAAATAATTTGAATTAAATTTATTAATTTAAATTTAAATATATAAAATATACCTAATTGGATTTAAATCAGCTCTTAAAGTTGACCCATAACTTTAAAAAAATGTTTAATTCAATATTTATTAATAAAATAAATATAATTAAATTACCCAATAGATGTGTTTTGACCTAAAAATACATCTCCTATCAATGTACAATTAGGTGAAATAAATGCATTGCTATAAAATGTTGGTATTTTATCATATAAGGGTAAAATATTTCTATGACGAGATAAAGGTTCCCAACAAGCAATATCTCTTTAGAATTTCGAACCCCATCTGTCAAGTTCTTTATTATTTGAATATAGATTTATATATTTATTACCTAGTCCTGTTTCACGAATCATACGACCAACTGTATTTTATACGTAATTTTTAATTGCAAAAAAAACTGACATAAGTGATAAGATAATAAATTAAAATAAAAAAATTATAATTATATATAAAAAATATATATATATATATATATATATATATATATATATATATATATATATATATATATATTTTTCTTTATTTTTATTTTTACATTTTAAAAATTATATATTAATATTTTTTCATATACATTTAATTTTTCATTATTTTATATTTTCATTTATATTATTTAGTTATTAAATATTTTTTAAAACATATTTATTTTATTTAATTTTTATATTTTGATTATCAAAAGCATCTTTATATTTTTTTTATTAGTTAAAAATGGAAATTATGTTATTTAAATTTCATTTTAATTTATAAACTATTATACTATTTTTTACTTTTATTCTTCTAATGATTCAATATTTTACATTTATTTATTTTTTAAAAATATAAGACCATATTTTTTGAATAAATCTAAGTAAAAATCGTTATTTTTTTTAAGCAATTAATCCATTTGAATCTTATTATATTTAATTATTTTTCTAACTGAATAAAAAAAAAAATACATTATTTTTACAATATCTATTTAATTTTATGAAATTTTATTATAAACTATTATTTTTTATTAATTTTTTTTCTTTTTTTTATTTGATTTCAGATGGTTCTGTATTAAGCAATTTCTTTTTTTTAAAATATGTAAATAAATATCAAATAAAATTAAATACACTAAAATTATTTAGTTATATATGCGTTTTAACTGTATTTTATTAATATTATTTACTTTTTCTAATAGATTTTATTATTTTATTTAATTTATTTTATAATTTCTAACTATTTAAAGACTAATGTAATTTTTATTAATTACTTTCATTATTCAATTTAACTTAAAACTTTTTTTTTGGTCTTTTTCTGTCATGGATTTATAAAAGCTTTATCTTTTTTCTTAATTTTTTTATTAAATTTTACTTTTCCATTCTATTTATCTCTCATATAAGTTTGTGTAATTTATAGTTTTATTAAGGCTTTAATTATCTTTTTACTTTTATTTTTCATAGAATTATATTTATGGTTAAAAAGTGCAAGCTTCCATTTATTTTTGATAGTTTTATTAGATAATATTATTTATATAATTATCTCTTTATAATTTCCACTAATTCATTCTTTCATAAAAAGTTTCTCTTAATTTTTATTTAATATAGATTTTTGTGAAACAATAATATTTATTAATTTACTTTTAAATATTATTATTTTTAATTTTTTTTTTTTTATTTATAGAAGGACTAAAAGTGCAATCTCTTAGTATTTCGAGTTCTTTTTATTTATCAAGATTCTCTTATTTTTATTTCCTATATTTTATTTTTTATATAAAGTTTATTTTTTTACTTAAAATATTATTATTTTAGTGCTAAATCATAAAGTCTTAATCCAAAATTTTTTACGTGTTATTATGATTAATTTTGCCTTTGCCTTTGATTTTTTTTTTTTTTTTCTAGTTAAATAAATTTAAAAAACCTAGTTAATTGTTGTTCTTCTTAAATATTAATTTTTTTTTTTTCTATATTTACTTTTCAATATTTTCATTTTCCTATGTTTCATTCATCATATTTGTCTGATATATTTATAAATTTTATATATCATTAGCTTATAATTAATTCTATTTTACTTTATATGAAAAAGATAAGCCATTATAAACTTATTAAATATATTATTTTTAATAATTATAATAAGTTTCTTATTAAAAATTATCATTTTTTTCTTTAAGAATTATTTGTTATTCAACTTTTAGTAATTATTTTTATTCTAAATAATTTTTTAAAGTAAAAAATTATTATTTTAATTTGTTTACAATTATATATATTTGATTATTTTAATTCTTATTATTTTTTAACATTATCATCTGAGTTTTATTTATTCATTCCTAAATCTTTAATTTATTTTAAAAAATCTTAATCTTTTTATGGTGTTTAATATGAAATTCTATTTATTTTTTTTGAGTATAAAGTTTTATATATAAAATAAATAACCTTATTAAATTTTTTTTATCGTTAAATTAATTTATTTTTAACATTATAGTTTAATAAATAAAAAAAAAATATATATTATAAACAGTTTTTTTTTATTTTTTTATTTAATTATGGATTGAAAAAAAGAACAAGAAATAGAATAATATATTTCTTTTTATGTACTCATATATTGTTTATCATTTAATTCATAATTTTTTGTATTTTTGTTTTAATAACATGCTGTTGTTTTACTTAATTTAAAATAATATTTGCTATATATTGATTACCTCTCATATAACTTTTATTATTAGACTGTTAATTTTAATCAATAAATTATAGTATTTTTAAATGTAAAAAATTTTAATTAAATATAGTTAATAAATAAAAAAACTATTTTAAAATAATTATTTTATTAATAAATAATATTAAAATATTTATTTTATAAATATAAAAGGATAATAATAAATAAAATCAATATTAAATACAAACAAAAGTAAAAAATATATAATTCTTTCATATTTTAACTAAAGCTTTTAGTTTTTGTTTTGATTAAAAATAATTAAATTTGATAAATTTTCAATAATTATTAATAATATTAAATATATAATTATTGAATTTATTTTTACTAATTAAATTATTTATTAATTATAATTTTAATTTTAATAAATATTTTTTTTTTTACTTTTTTTAATTGATTGTTATTTATATTATACAAAACATAATAATATTTTTAATATAATTAATTTATTATAAAAACTTTGTTTTTTATATATATATATATATATATATATATATATATATATATATATATATATATATATATATATATTTTTTTAAAGTTTTTATTTAACTAAGTTTCACTTAAATATTAGTTTTGCTCTTATTTAATTTTTTATTTTTAAATGATACTTTAGTTTTATAATTAAACTTTATTTCTTTTATATAAATTTGCAAATATAATTAATTTTATTTGATATATATTCATATTTTAATTATATTTACTCTCTTTTTATTCTTATTTTATTAAATTTTTATTATCATAATTAAATAAATAATTAAATTTTTAAAAATATTTTAATTTTATTATATTATTATTGACTACTTGATTTTTATTAAATTTATTATTATGAAATATAATAGTAATTATTTTTATACATTAAAACTTCTTAACTTTTTTATAACTATAATATTTAGTTTTAACGACTTTAGTAAAAATTAATATATTAATTTTAATTTATTTTTAAGAAGAAACTAAAAATACTTATACTGATTTTAAATATTAGGACTACTTTTATTTAATTAAATATATTACTTCTAAATATAATTTACTTCTAAATATAATTTATTTTAATTATTTATCTCTGTATAGTCTAAAAAGTATAATAATAATAATTTTAAATATTAAAAGTTTTATATATATATATATTTAATTTGAACAAAATTAATTATATTTTTTGTTTAACTAAAATTAAAATAAAAACCAATATATAAAGTATTTTATTAAATAATAAAAATATAAAATCTTTATATTTATTATAAAATTATATTTAATTATATTTTAATAATAAATAAAGTGTATTATTTGTTCAAATAATGCTATGTTTATTTAATTAAAAAGTTTTTATATAAAACAAAAATATTTCTTTATTAAATATAATCTTAATTTTATTTGTTCCATATAATACATAAAAAAAAATAAAAAAATACAAATTTTAAGTTTTAAATTCTATTTTTATTTTTTTTAAATAAAAATATGGAATAAAAAAAAGAATAAAAAAAAGAATAAAAAAAAGCAAAAAAAAAACAAAAAAAATCAACAAAACAAAACAAAATAACATTTTAAAATTATTAATTTTTCAATATTCTTTAAGAATTTACTTAAGAAAATCAAGCCCTTCTCCATTCAAGTGATTAATAAAAGAATCCGAACAATAATTAACATCTTTTACATTTTTGGAATTCATAACGCAACTATTTAATTCACCTTCCCAGTTTTTTAATTTTCTATATAATCTATCTTAAATTTCTTCTACATTAGCTTTTTTAAGATTAGTTATTGTAGGTTTTAAAATTGTGTGCCAATTTTATAAAGCTTGTTACATTAATTATCTTCTATCTTCTTAAATTGGAATATAATCGTATTAGCTGTAAAAGCTAATATCTTTAGTCATGAGTTTTTTTCTTTGTAAGTTTATTTCAGATTCAATGTTTAATTTTTAAATTGGGTCTAAGTTTTTTACTTCTTCACTCATTTTATAGTTTTTTTTTTTTTTTTTAATTATAATTACTATTATTTTATTTTTTCTTATTTAATATTTTTTTTATTTCTTTTTTTTTATTTTTTGTTTTATTTTTTTGTTTTTTATATCTTTTATTTATTATTAATTCATTTTTTTTAAATTAAAAAAAAAAGAAGAAGAAGAAAATTATTAATATTATCTTTTTAAAGGGGCTTTTTTTTAGATAGTATTTTAAATCAAAAAAAAAAAAAAAATACAAATTACAAATTAAATAGAAAAAACTTATAAATATAATAAAAGTTATTCTAATAAAAAAAAAATATATTTTAAATAACTATTATTTCAAAACTCAATTTTATTAATCTTTTATATTGTCTATAAAAAATAAAATTATAACAAAAAATAAATATATATATTTACGTAAATGTTCTGTATTTAAATATATAAGTTAGAAATAAAAGAATCTTCCATAAACATATTCACCTTCTCTTGGATAAAGATAACATCTTCCAATCATTTTGTTAAATTTAGCATCATCTACAGGTTCTTTTTATGTTCCAATAAAATCTTAAGACTTAAAATGTCTATCTTATAATAAAACAAGTTCTTATGCAACTTTAGCAGCTCCATTCATAACAAAATCACTAAACTGAATAAAATAAAATAAATAAAAATAGAGATAGATATATTAAATACATCAGCTTATTATTAGAATTTTTTCATATCAATATTAGGTAATAAAGAATAAAATTATCCTTCAAAAAGTTTATAATTATTCGAAGCATGAGTACTATACCAAAACTTACTTTAATAGGCTTATTCTAAATTTCTTTAATTACAAATCATTTAATCGATTACATAATTTCCAACTCTCAAGCTTTCGAAATGGTAAAAAGTATATTCATTACTTCATAAATAAGAATTTATTTTTTGAATTCCTTTTTGGTAATCTGCACTTTAAGAAATTAGTCTGTCATAATAATCTCAATTTCTTATTTTTACTATTCTTGTTATTAGGGATTTTATTCATTGCATAATTATTCAATTTGGCTTAATAATTGTTATATTTTATCGTTTACTTCTTTAGTAGCAAAAAAGTCATTTGATTTTATCTCAAATTTATCAAAAAGCCATACTTTTATTAATAATAAAAGTATGTCTTGGACTATTTTGTTTTTCTATACTTAATTTTCAGAATAAAATAAATCGGTTTCTTCATATTATCCAAATATTTTACTTATTTTTTGGTATTAATCATATTTTTTTTTATCATCACTAATTTAAATTTATATAATTTTTTATGAATATTTTAAACAAAAAATATATATTAAAAAAAGATTATTATAATTTTTTAATTTAAGTAAATACTTATAAAAATTTAAAAAGAAAAAAAAATATAATTTATATATAAAATAAAAAAAATAAATAAAAAAAAATTATTTTACACTAAACTTAAAGTGATTCCTAATAAAACAAAGTAGTGATTTATAACAAAATGATATTAAATATAAGAGCGAACTAACAAATAGCATCTTAATTCTTCTACAGTAAATTTACCCTATAAAAAAATAATAAATATTTATATAAAATTTAAATAAATAAAATATATATAAAATATATATAAATATATATAAAAATTTATAAATAAATTTATTTTTTATATATATAATTATATATATATATTTATTTATTTATTATATATATTTTATATATATTGATATTTTTACTTATTTAATCAAATTCAAAGTATCTATATAAAATCTATGAATAATGAATTTTTTCTAAGCTTAGCATTCCAACTATATTTTTAATAAAATTTTGTTTTTTTTAATTAAAATATAAAAATTAATTTACTAATTCTTTAGATTCATTTTAAAATAATTAATCAATATTTATTTTTATTTAGTTATCAACATTTTTTAAGACTTCTTTGTAATTTTCCATTTTATATTCAGTTTAATAAAGGAAAGGAATATCAATTTTATATCCGTTTTAAATAGCCTGATCAACTTTTTATTACTATCTAATAATTGCTTAAGGGGCAAACTTTTCAGGTAAATATTATGGTTTTCTTTTTTAACCATGAGGAAGGGCTATGTAGTCGTAATTGATTTGTTCTTAAGAGTTCATTTTTTTAATTTGCTTTTAATTTTTTTTGATCTTTTTTTTATTTTGAAAAACTGTGAAAAAATATAATTTTTATCTTTATAAAATAATTATTTAATTTTTATTTTTGATTTTTTTTTTTTATTTGTTTTTTTAGTTTTTTGGATACATCATATATTTTTTTAATTTATACTTTTGTAATTAATAATATTAATTATAACTTTTTATAAAAAACAAAAAAATATCTATTTAGCTTTTCATTTAAAAATAATTTTATTTTTATTTTTTTAAATAAAATATACATATATATTACTTTTTAGCATATTTTTTTTTTTCTGTATTTTATTTTTTAAAAAAACTCAATTAAAGAAAATAAAGAACATAATCTGTTTTATTTAGCATTTTAGTTATTTGTCGATTGAGTTTTTAATAAGAAAATGACTGAAAATAATCATAATTTTAAAAAAGAAATATAAATGTACTAATCTGGATTATAGAAATTAAAAAAACACACACATTAATAATTTTTTATATATGAAAATATTTATGAAAAATTTAAAAAAATACATTTTTTTTTTTTGTAATTATATAATACATAAAATAAATTCATTATTCTTTATTTAATGATTCCATATTTTTTTATTCACTTAATATTAAATTCCATGTACAAGCTAATTATCCATCTAAATCTCCATTTTAGAACTAAATAATACCTTCTTTTTCTTTTTTATATTTGTTAAAAAAATCCATAGCCTTTTTATTGAAAAAAATTAAGTATATTTATTTATACATAAAAATAATTTTTTTAAAATTTAAAACAAATTGAAAAATTATATTAACGAAAATAATAAAAAAAATATCTACTCTTGATTTTATTTTATTCGCTGCTTCATTTTCACTAAAAAAGCTATTTGTTTTTTAAGAAAGGCTATTAGATTTTATTATAGAAGATAATACACTACTGTTATATTCATTTTATAATATTATTTTTTCTAATTTAATTTTTTCTTTTCCTTCTTCATCTTTAAGTTTCTATTTTTTTATTTTTTTTTTTAAAAAAAAAAGTAAAATAAAATAATTAAAATAAAAAATAAATAAAAAAATATCATACTGAAACTATGTTTCTTATATCGTATTATAAACTAGATATGTAATGAATCTCGGAAATAAAATATTTACTTATACAATCAAAAACTAAATCACTTTTTTTATTTTCGAATTCAGGATATTAATTATCTATTTATTCCTTATATTTATTTTAATAAATATGAAATTTACATAAAATTTCTGAATTTAATTAATTATTTTACAATTATATTTGTATATTATTTTATAGCTCCTTTAAAACTTTAAAGTTTTACAGTTAAAATTTCTGTAATTTAATCTTTTTTTTATCTAAATTATTAGAATCTATATAATATAAATAAATAAATATATAAAAATAAATAAGTATATTTATAAAATACTTCTTTTGACTTTTTTTCAAAACATTAAGTTAATTTTATTATAATTAATTTAAATTTAATTCTTCCCATGCTTAATTCAATTCATTTTTATTTTATAAATAGTCATTTTTATACTTAAAAAAAATAATGTATGTTATTTTTTCTACTTAAAAAAATAATATACTTTTTATATTTCATCAAATAATTAATTATAGTTTTAAAAAATTCTATTGCTATTTCCAAAAATAATTTATTCATCATTTAATATGTTACTGAATTTAAAATTCATACTTAATGCTATATCTTATTCTAAGCTTTTTACATATTTTTATTTTTAATCAAAATATATAGCATGATAACTTTCTAATGGTTCAAATAAATTAGGAGAAACACTTTTTATTTAGTTTTTATTAAATATACATATTTTTTGAGTTTTAATACTGATTGTAATTTTTTGCAAAAGTATCAACTAATTTTGTTAATTTTTAAAATTATTATACATATTCGTTTTCTATTTAAAGTCTTAAATTAAATATATTTTACAAATCTTAAATAAGCTTAATATTATTTTGAAATAGCTTCTTATTCTCAGAAATTTTTTACTATTTTATTTTAAAAATATAATATGAAGTTAAAAAAATTATTTTATATTTTTTTAAAAATATAAGCAAACACCTAAAATGGAAGAAAATGTGATCATAATGATAATTATTTTCTTTAAAATAAATTAAAAATTAATATTATTTTTTTTATTTTAATAATTATATACGAATTTTTTAAAAATATTTAATATTTTTAATATAAAATTAATATGTATTAATTAATTAAATCATCTATATAATTAAAAAAAAAATACTTACTTTTTTTTTTTTTTTTTTTTCTTATTTTAAATAAAAAACTATTTATTTAAAAAAATGTATAAAAAGTTTTTATATATTAAAAAAAAAAACATCAATATATTTATATATGTATATAAATAATTAAATTTATAGAAAAAAATAATTATTATTATATTTATAACTATTTATGTGACATATAGTAATATATAAAAACAATCATAAGTAAAATAAAAATATATATGATTATTTTAAATAATTTATTGTAAAAAAGAACATTACATAAAATATAGATATACTTTTATCTATTATTTTAATATAATTTTTTTAAAAATATATAATAATATATGATATAAAAACAAAAAATTCCAAGAAATATTATTATAATATTTTAATAAAAATATTATAATTATAAAAAAATAAATATCATATTTAATATAAATCATATTTAGATTAACAATAAAAAAATATGCGGTTTACATTCTTTCAAACAGTTACAGAATTATTATGTTTATATATTATTCCATTAGCAGCTTCATTAGTTGTTTTAGTGAATCCTTAAAAAAATTAAAAATCTTAAAGAAGATGAATTTTACATTGGATTTTGGTTTAGTTTTCATAATTTACATTATACCCAGTATATTCCATTATGCCTGAAATTCTGGAAAATATCCTTAGAATTGAAACTGCGATCGGCTTTTTATATATAAATATAATTTTAGGGGAAGATGTATTTCAATATTTTGAATAATTAATTGCAAAAAATAATAATAATATTGATTTATTAAGAAAGTTTATTTAATAAAAATTAGAAATTTTCAAACTAATTAAATAACAGTAATGAAAATAAAATAAAATACAATACACTAGATTATATTTTTTTATTTTTTTATGACTTACATATTCATTTATTTTTTTAAATATTTTTCTATATATTTTTTTTAATAAAATGTTTTAAAATAAATTAATTAAAGTATAAAAGTAAAAAAATTAAAATTGTTACAAAAGGAGGGAAATATATTATTTATAATATTTTTTTTTAAAAAATTAAATATAAATAATATAAATAATTTATACAAGATGTTTATTTTTTATTTATTATAAGAATAAAAATATTTTTTTTTTTTATTATTAATTATAATATAAAATTAAAGTTTAAATAAATAATAAATGTGTATAGAAAAATTATATAAAAAAAAAAAATTAAAAAAATTCATAAAAAATAAAAAAGTAAATATAATTAAAAAAAAAAAAAATTCTTCAACAAAAATATTAAAATAAAAAAAATAAACATCCGAAAATGTCTGAAGTAATAAAAATAACAATATTTAAAAAAATAAAAAAAAATAAAGACTTTTACAATATTACTAACAAAAGACTAATAAAGGATAATAAACACAATAATGCCGTAAAGATATTCATTCTAATAAAATTCAAAGCGCTAGAACATATCCACAAGTTGTTTCCAAAAAAAAAAATATTTAAATATAAATAAATATATATATATATATTACTATATATATATATTTATATTTATGTATTTATATATTTATATTTAATTATTTTCTATATATCTATATTTATATATATTTTTATTTTTTATTTTAACATAATAAAAGATAATTCAATCTTAAAAACAACAACTAATCAAACATTATAATAAAGGCCTGAAAGGCAAACAATTTAGTAATAGTAAATAATATAATAGCCTTTACAAAGATTAAATATTAATAAAAGTCGAAGTACAAATTAAATTAATAAAAAGCGAAATGCAAAAACTTAACAAAAGTTGGAATAAAAAAAGAATAGAAATTTATATTCAAACCAAATTATAACATCAAATAATTCCTTATAAAGTACTGGAATGTCCCCAGATATGAAATAATGTTTATAAATTTTATAAAAATTAAATAAAAATGAAAATGCAACACCTTTTTTATATCGAGTAGACCCCATATTATAAAATTGTCCAGATTATTATAATATAATATAGGAGCCAATAGACTTATCTTAAATAGAATTAAATTTAAGGCAGAACTAATATTAAACCAAATCATAATTTGCAGCTGATGTAAGAAAAGTTTGGAAAAATTCCTTTATTTATAATAGATAGGGAACCCAAATATATGAAATGACTAAAAAAATGAGTGCTTTTTTCGATAAACTATATAGCTAAATTGAAAACTAAACACCTAAAATGATAAATAATTTAAAAAACGATTATCATACCATTACATAGTATTTTTTCTTTTAATAAATTAAAATAAAATAAAAAAAGAAATCTTAATCATTTAACTAAATAAGTAAGTGTTTTATCAAAACCAGAATAGATAAAAATTGACAAAATGGATATTCCTTTAACTATGAATGAAAAAAAATAATTGGGAACTAATATAAGGTCACTTCCTCCAGAAGATTTAAATGGAATCTGGAGTATAGTTTAAGACAATAACCTCTAACATAATAGTGAGGTTATTGAGTTTGATATAGATACATTACCTGTAAAAAAAGCTAGAAAATTAGAATAATATGTCAAATAAAAAATGCTGGAATAAGCCAAAAAAAATAAAGGAAAAAAAAATGTTAAATAATAAGTAAATATTATTTTTTTATTTTAATAAAAATATTTTATTTATAAAATATAATTTATTTTATTATTATATATATATATTTATATATATATATCTTTATATAAAATAAATATATATATATACACATATATATATAAATATATTTAAGATATTTATTATTTAAAAATAATAAAATTATTAATAAGAAAATTATAAATAAATTAATAATTAAAAATAAATTTAGCAATAATCACAGAAACAGTTTTTAAAAAGCCAATCTTTTGATAAGTAATAGGGTTTTACTTTCAACGATAACTAATTTGGAGTAAATAAAAAAAAAATATATATAATTAATTAAATTAAATTAAAATAAATAGTAATAATAACAACAATAATAATACTAAATGCAATTACAATAATAAAAATAATAAGAACAATAAATTTAGTAAGATGATAATAATAGTTCATCTTCTTAATTTATTTCAGGTTTTTTTTATTTTTTATATCTTTTATATTTATTTTTATAGAAAGTGAGGATGATTGATATTACATATAATTAAGATTTTATAAATAAAAAAAAATATAAAAAAAATAAAAAAAAAAAATATAAAAATAAAAAATTAACTTTTTATTTTATTTATAAATAAAAATAAAAATTTTATATTTTTGTATTTTTTAATTTTTTTTTTTTTTTTTATATTTAAAAAATATAAAAACTGTTTTTATAAATTTTTTATTTTTATATTATATTAATAAATAGATATATATATTAATATTTTTAAATAGATATATAAAATCTTTTCAATTAATTTAAAACAAAAAATATATATTTTGTATATTTTATTTTTAGATATAATGTTACATACAAATAATTCTTATAATTAAAAAAAATATAAAATGCAACTATTTAAATCAATAATCAGAATTTTTAAACAAGTATTCGAAATTATTTATTATCATAACCATTAAAGACTACAATTCTAAAAATAAAATATGAGCTTTTCTTCCAATTAAATAATCTATGCCCCTATAAATATTAATTAATTATATATATATATATATTTAAATATAATATAACCTTTCAGTAATTTCAAAATTAATATCTAATCTCTAAATTATATAATTTTATATATTTTTAAGTAAATTATCAACCATTTCATTGTGTATATTTTTATTTCTTTTTTGTTTTTTAAAGGAAAAACATATAAAAAAATTTTAAAAAAATAAAATTTTACTTATCATTATCATTTTATATTTTCTCGATTCTAGCAGATTCCAAAGGAACATAATAATCTTAAGTACTTGAACATAAAACAACATTTCTGAACCATTCGAGTCCCTATAAATATAAAAATAATTAAAATATAAACTATTATTTATATTACTTCAAATTTAGATAATTTATATAAAAAACAATTTCTAATATCTTTATCATCTCCTAAGTTTAGTTATTTTAAACATAAAGAACCTTTCCATATTTTCAAAAACCACATTCCGAAATTAATTAAAACATGTTAGTGATTCAAATATCCTAAATGAGGTACACCAAAACTGAGAAAAGTATACATTTTACTTTTATAATTTTCTTTTAAATATGGCAAAGCAGCTCTTACAATAAGTCCTCCTAATGAATGTGCTACAAAACTAATTTTACCTAATTAATTTTAAAGAATCCATTTTTTTACAAACTCTTCGATTTCCTAAGCTAATGAAATACCCATTTATTCAATGCTACCTTCAGTGTTTTATTAATTAGCAACTGAAAGTAAAAAAAGACATTCTGGATATAACAAATTCATATGATTTTTAATTAAACGCATATCAAAAGCATTACCCTAAAAACCATGAACAAAAATAAATAAATGAAAACTAGTAGGTTTAAAAATTCTTTATTCTAAAAATTGCTTAAAAATAAAATAAAATAAAAACAAAATATATAAATATAGTATATATATGTTAAAAATTATGAGTATTTTTTTTTTTTAAAAAAAAAAAAATTATTGAATTTAAAAAAATAATAAAGTAATTAAAAATTAAAATATATAAATATATATATATATATATAAATATTTATATATTTATATATTTATATATTTATATATTTTTTTATTTATTCTTTTATTTTTATATAATATTAATATAATATAAAAATATAAGAATATTTTTTTTCTTTCTTTATATTTTTTTTAAAATAAATTAATGAAAAATTTAAAAATATAAATTTAATAATAATTTTATATATATTTTTTTTTACATTATTTTTATTTATAGTAATTTCTTCAAATATTACTGGATTATTCATTTTATTTGGTAATATTCTTATATCTTTAACTGCATTATAATTTGTGAAATGTTTAGTAAGGGCATTTTATCTAATTTAATTAGCCTTCTATTAATTTTCTTATAATTTTTATTTCTAAATAATCACATTATGTTATGTTACAAATCTTTTTTCATTTTTAATAAAATCCATCCATAGTTATTTATTTTATTTTAAATATATTTTTTTGAATTATTTAGTTATTAACTGTCCATTAACTAAAAAAAGTTGTTAAAATTTTTCCCAAAGTTTTAATATAAATTTATTTATTTAATTTAATTCTTATACTATAATCATAGGCTAACGATCGAATTTTCTAATATATTAATTAGTTTCTATTTGCTATTTATTTATTCGTATTTATTAAGAATTTAAATTGTTTTCACTATTATTATTTGTAATAAAATGAAATATAGAATTAGGAAGTTTTTCCATCTAAAATTATTAAAACAAAGCTGAAAAAACCAAGTCTTTATGGTTAATATTTTTCCTCATTATTTTCAGTATGTTTTCAATTTTATCGGCTATATTTTCATATTATTTTCTTAATAAATTTATATATTCATCATAAAATATTTTAACTTCACTTTCATTTGCTAAAAAGAAAAATAAAATAAAATATATAAATATTTATAATATAATAAATTACATAAAACCTTAAACTAATAATATCCTCCTTAATGAATATTTTATTATGTTTAAGAATTGTTCACATTATCTTAAAAAAAATTAATATTTTTATTTGGAATATTTTCCACTACATCGCTACTACAAAAATCTACTATACAAGAGTGTAAAGTTACATTAACTTAATTAAAATGATCTTCATCAAAAAGAATTGGTACATATTCATTAATTCCATTTTTTATAAAATCCTTATTTATTTCGGCTTTATATAATGATACACAATTAAATTATATTTCCTTTCCTTAATTATCCATTTCAGCATACATTAACTCTATATCCATATATATTTCTGCATCCCGGCTTAATGGAAAATGTTCTAAATTTAAAGTAAATACACATGTTTCGTTTATATATATTATTTCATCTTCAAAAAATTATTTTATCATAAATGTTTTTGTACAATATGCATGATGTTCACTGAATATATGAGGGGGTATTATGCTTTTTGTTGATTTATTTTTTTAACGAAGTTCAGAATCTTATATATATTATTTTCTGTCTTTTGTTAAATCACATATTTTTGTAGGATGTGCTAAAATAACCTTTTTGTTTGTTTGTTTTTTATAAGAAAAAGACTAGAATATTTTACTTATGATTTTTTATTTTATAATATATATATGAGAAATCTTAAATGATAAAATCCTTATTAAAATGATATTATGTCAATGCTTTTATATGTATCTACGTGGACTAAAAATTCAATTTTCGATTTTACTTTCATTTAATATTTTTTTAATTTTCTTACTTTATTTTTATGTTGATAAGTATTTAAATAAAAAATACAATAAATATATAATTATATTTGTATTTAATTTTTAATGAATATATTTATAAATTTATTAGGATTTTAATATTTTTCTTTTAGATTTTATATATATTATTTTTATTTATTCAAATACTAAATATATTTTTTTTATTTTATATATAGATATATATATAATATAATTAAATATAAATATTTTATATATATTTTTAAATTACTTTTTTTTTTTATATTTAAAATAATTTAGTTTTTTATATTTATTTACACAGAAACAAAAAATCATTAACATCTTTTTATATTTATTATTATTTTTATTATAAAAATTAAAAATTTATAAAAAAATAAAAAAAAATATATTCAAACTTTAAATTAATTGATTATGATATTTTTTTTATTGAATATTTTTAATATTTCAATGTATGATATATAATTTACTAAAATTACTAAATGCGTATATATTGGCATTTTCACAATATTATAATAACTATTTAAAATTATAAAATAGTGAAGAAAAAACGACCTTTAACAATTAAAATTAAGATTATACTATAAATAATAATTAATTATAAATAATTTTAAAATTTTATGTTTAAAACAAAAATTAAATTATTAATAATATAATAATATTTATATATAAATAATTTTTATAAATATTAATATATTTTTAATTCATTAAATATATTTCATATTTAATTTAAAATAAATAAATATCAATTTAATGCTTTAATTTAAGCTTAGACTTCCAAAAGTTTTTATTTAATATTTTCTTTTTCTTATTTTACATTTTTTATTTTATTTTCTAAATCTTAATTCTATTTTTTTTTTTATACAGATATGATTTTTGATATTTACTTTTTGAAAAATATCAAGTAAAGCTTTTCACCTTATACACTAACTTCTTTAGTTTGCTAAAATTATTATTAAAGTTTATTTTTTTTCCAGAATTACTTTTTTTTTAAAAAAAAATAATAATATAGATTTAATAATAGTTTTATTTTTTTCTACTTTTAAAAATGTTTCTTTTATCTATATCAACATTTATTAAGTTTTGTCTAAAGTTTCATTAAACTCATCTATTTTTTTAGAATATAGAGCTATTTTTAATTTTTTTTCTGTTTCTTAATGTTATAAGTTGGCTTATTATTATCTTAATTCGAAATTTTCTTAAGCTTCTTATTAAACTTATTTAATTTAATCACAAAAATCTTCTACTTTCTTTTTTTAATCTTCATCTATTGTTTTTTTTTTTTTAAAAAAAAAAAAAAAATTAAATATAATATTTTTATTTAAAAAAAAATTACCTTTTCCTTCTAGATTTTTCAAATAATCTTTTTCTTTTCCTTCAAAAACAGATAATTTTTATTTTAATTATTCTTTAAGTCTATTATATTATAGAAGTATATATATAAATATATATCTTTTTTATTTACTCAGTATTTTCTTTTTCTTTTTATTGACTTTCCACATCTTGTTCTTCAATTTTTGATAAAATATCTTTTATATATTTAAAAATAATATTCCAAAAATATTTCTACCTTTTAATGAATTATCGAATTATTCTTATTATTATAAACGTTATTTATCTTCTTCATTTATTAATTCTTAAGTTCCTTTTTTAAGTTAATCTATAGCATCTCTTAATTCAATACATACATTTGAATATTTTTATTTAATTTCCGATTATTTAAAATTCTCTTATATTACTAAAAATTTAAAGATTTTTGTTTTTTTATTGAATAAAAATAATAATAATATTCATTTTACAAACATCCTTTTCATGTGTTAATTAGTTATTACTTTTTTTTAGTAAAGCAAGTTAATTTTCAAGTTTTGTTCCGAGACAAGTCTTTTTTAAAAAATATAAACAATAAAAATTATTCCAAAAAAAAAAAAAAACTAATATTATTAAATAATTATTGGGGAAAAAAATATAATAATAATATAATAATTTAGTTTACTAATTATTAAATAGCTTTAAAATGAGCTTCGTCTTTTTAACCTAAAGTTAGTTCTTTATTTTCTTCATATAAACTTTTTGATATTGTTTATATATTTTTAAATTATTTTCCTTTTTTTTTAAATAATAAAATAATTATTATTAAATGCTTATATATTATTATATTTACTAATATTTTCTAATTCTTATGGAGTTAACTATTAGACAGAATTATTTAATTCTTAATATCTTTATTGAACTAATAACAACTAATCTTCAGATAAATTTTATTTTGATTTTTTTTAATTACTCATTTATATTTTATTAATATATATATTTTTTTTATTTCTTTTTTCTTTTTGTTTAATTTTAAAATTAAATAAAAAAAAATATTTATTTCATATAATAATTTTTTATAAGAAAATATTGATAAAAATTTAATTATATTATTATTTAAAAAAATCTTTCAAAAAAATATAAATGTATTTGTAATTAATATATAATTTTAAAAATAAAAACATAAACTTATTAAGAGAATCAATTTATAAAATTATGTGTAAAAAATATTTTTATATAAGTTATATATACTTTTAATTAAATTACAAATAGTTAAATTATAATAATTATAAAAAAAAAAAAAAA